CTGCTCATTGCTGATCTCCTCTCACGCAAACCCGTCAGTGAACAACACTCGTCCGACGAGGACGTGGCAGAAATCGAAGCCCATGTCAACGCCATCATATCAGCCTTGCCCGCAAGCCACGGCAAGCTTGAAGACATCGCGCAGCAACAACATCAAGATCGAAAGATCCGTCAGGTCATCAACTTCACTGAAATCGGATGGTCATCTCCTGTCCATCCTGACCTGCTGGAATTCTATTCAGCTCGTGGATACTTCAGCGTGTCCTACGATCAAACCAGCAAACCTCTACTGATGTACGGAAGCCGAATTGTCATCCCTGAAGACATGCAACGTGAAATGCTACGAAAGATTCACGACGACGGACATCTGAGTCTGGTCAAGTGCCGACAAAGGATCGCCGAGTCAGTCTGGTGGCCTGGTATCAACGGCCAACTGAAAGCATGGATCGACCGCTGTGGGTTCTGTCAAGCTCACAGACGGCGGCAGCATGCAGAGCCACTCCAGCCCACCGAGCTCGCCGATGGCCCGTGGAATACAGTGGGGGTAGACTTCGCTACCTATGAGGGCCGGACCTTCCTCATCGTCGTTGATTACTTCAGTCGCTGGCTGGAAATTCTTCACATGACGTCAACCACCAGCGCAAGCACGATCGACCGACTCAGGGGTCTCTTCGGACGCTTCGGAATCCCAGAGATTCTTCGTTCCGACGGTGGACCGCAATTCTCTTCTCAAGCCTTCGCCGACTTCTCCAAAACGTACGGCTTCAAGCACATGATGAGTAGCCCTCACAACCCGAGAAGCAATGGAGCTGTCGAGCGTGCTGTTCAGACAGCCAAACGTATCATTCAGCAACCGGATCCGACGCTGGCGCTTTTGGCCTACCGGAATACTCCACTGGAAGTCACTGGACACAGTCCAGCACGCCTGCTCATGGGACGCAATCTGAGAACCCGACTACCAATTCATCCGGTGCACATGAAGCCGCAATGGCCTGACTTCATCGAACTTCAGCATCATCATGATCTGCAAAAGCTTCGTCAAAAGGAGGGATATGACAAGAGGCATGGCGCAGCGCACCTCGACCCTCCATCAGTGGGTGATGACGTTCGTGTGCGCCATGACGGCGAGAAACACTGGAACGGACCAGTGCGCATCATCGGACCAGCTGCGCAGCCAAACTCATTCATCATTCCGTCAGCTACCACGCAAACGCCTGTCGTCCGTAACCGACGTTTCATCCTTCCGATTCCACCCGATTCTCGCCCGAGTCCAGATGCTGCTCTTCCGCCAGTTACCCGACCAGCATCCTGGGACATCGCTGCTCCACAACCGTCTCGGAGCTCTCCGCTGGGTGCATCACCGCAAAGTGCACCGTCGTCCTCGCCGTAATCGCCTCCGGCATCGTCACAAGCACCCGAGGAACCCGAAGAACTGCTGCTAGCAGCCGAACCGCCGCCACCGCCTGCTCAGCCTGCCCAGAGAACGGGTGCAGCACCACCACCAGCAGCAGCTCCAGCAGGAGCAACAGCAGCACCGGGCGAGCTTCCGCGATTCACGCGCAGTGGTCGTCGTGTGAAGCCCACAAAACGTGCGGACTATCATTATTACTAAAGTGGTGCGACACGTAAAAGTTTTGGAACCTGACATTTATTGTTCCCGCTTAATTTGCATTACGCTTAGCCAGCTTGTATATTTCATTGTGCTCTGCTCTCCCGCCTGACCTGCGCGTCTATTGAAAGGGGGGAGGTGTACCGCGAGTAGCTGAGTTGCACCGCGAGTAGCTGAGTTGCAGCAGTTTAGTAGGGATACGCCCCTCGTATACGCCCCTCGACTTTTGGGCCGAGCTTGTTTCGATACTGTTTGGGTGTGGCCGCTAAGCAACGCAATACAAGAAAACTTGGCTAATCTAACTTCTCTGCAAGATATCGATACAGTTGTTAAGGCCTAAAAAGGTGTCTATCTGATGCAGTTTTTCACGGCGAATCGAATGGTGCTATTTTTGTTTCCGTACGAGGTCTAGAACTTCCCAAAAAGTCATTTTTCAAAAAATTTGTGTGTCGTGACGTCATAAAATTTTGAATAACTCCCACATTTTTGAACCGATTCTTCTAAAATTTGGTATGTAGGTGCACATAGACCACTTCTCTGACATATATTCCGGTTTTTTCGATAGACTCAAAATTTTGGATTTTATAATGATTTTCCCAAAAAAGTCAGTTTTTTGAAAAAATTTAGGCCAAAATCCAAAATTTTCAAAAAACCGAGATAGCCATTTGATAGACAAAGTAAAATTACGTATAACCTTTTTTGTTACGTCTTGATTCCTTTAAAAATGAAGATGTTAGCGGCGTTTGAACTTTTGCCGTTTTTGAGGCGAAAATGGCGAACATGACGTCACTAAAACGTCAATTTCTCAAAAATTTTCCGACAGATTTCGCTCAAATTTTCAGGGAACGTGTCAAATTGATGTAAAAAAAGGTACTGAAAGTTTGGCGGCGTTGCGCGCCGCCGTTTTTGAGATATCGCAAAAATTCGCGAGGGGGGGTAAAATTTACCCCCCCCCCCCAGCCCCGCGCGGGTTAAACATTGTAGACGGGAATGGTGCGGTGGTAAATACATGTACCGCGGTTTATGTCACCTGTCTTATATGCCGCAGTGTGAGGCGCCTGTGCTCAACTACAATAACTACACAGTCATCAGTAACAGTCCAGCCTAAAACGCCACACCGGGTGGCGCTACACAAACCGCGAGAGCCTCCAAACGACTTCATAGCATCCAGTCAAAACAGATAAACCAATGAAATGGATGCAGTAAAAGCTACGGGAGAAGTTGTTTCTCCGCGGAATTTGACAGACCATCACTGTGCTGCACAGTGCACACAGGCGCACGCTTCTATTTCAATAGAAAAATACAATTCTATCGAGCAGTGTTGTCTATTTCAAACACCCTGCACGGTTACAGTCTACGGGTGGACGAGTGTGGCGGCGAGTGGAGCTCGCGCTGAGGGCGGTGGTGGTTGGTCTGCAGCTGGTCGACAGTGGCAGTCCGCCGGAGGTGCCTGGGGAGGCCGAATAGCTGGTCGTCAGTCAGTGTGCGCCGATGGTCGGTCGGATGTCTATAGCCAGTAGCGCAGCTCCTTGTAGGGCCGTGGCAGCGGCTGCAGACAACGCCGACAAAATTCACCCTTAGTGAGCTCGCTGACACAACGGAACGCGTGCAAATATGCCTCATTTGAGTCACAACCATCAGAATCGGACGCAATGGGCTCCGTCCCTGCTAACGTGCTGTGTGATAACTCCAGGTAAAAAAATGTCCACAGACCTCTGTGATTTGTGAGAAACTTTGTCCACAGACTCTGTGATTTGTGAGAAGAAAGGACGGCCATGTGTAGCACTTCCAAGTTCCAGTGTTCATCTCCGAGATCCACAGAGCAGTGGCGGTATAACAGGGTCACGGATCACTCGCCTGTAGTGTATGGGCCGTCTGGGAGCTTTAGTGGCTCCATCGCCGCCAGTCTGGTTCGGCTTGGCGCGGGAGCTGATACCGCATCGAAACAGTCTGTACCTCTGCCAGCATCAGGAAAGCAAACAACATTCCTGCCGCTGGCCGGCAGCAATGCCGGGAGGCGGCCCAGTGGCGCCCCCCGGGACGCTGTATCGTCCCGCACCGCTCCCCACACCGGCCTGGGAGCGGCGCGGCCCACTGGCCCAGTCCGCTGTCCTTTCAGGAGCGCGTCAGTGAATCACACCCGCACGGTCCGGCCCCACCAGATGCCCGGGAGACGCGCTCGGACTCCGCGGGGCTCGCCGCCGGCCGCCGCCTTCCAATGCTCGCTCCGCTCAGCTGCACCTTGGCATATCGAACGGTTTGGATCCTATCCATCGATGACGTCATAGAACAGGGTGCCAGAGGCGCTGTCGGCGGCCCGGTCCCGGGGGGAACCACGCAACAAACACCCGCCAAAGGTCGGACCGACCGGACCGCCCAAATGTCGGCGCTGCAGATCTGCAAATAGCGCCAGGGTAATGTAAGCCACTTTGGGCCGGTGGGTAAAATACAGCAGCTAAGAAGCACGTGAACTTACGCATGGTTTAGGTATACCGCATGCAACAGCGTTTTGCTGCTGAGCGCCATTAAGTAGATAAGCAGGATATGCGTGCTGGTTCTGCATTGTCATTCCACGCCGACCTCTCAGCGATAGCGAGTCGTGTTCGACTGGAAGTGGCCCGTCCCTCGGTTGTCGGTCTCTGGGCGGCAGCAGCAGGATCGGTGCTACTCTGCCGTCTGCAGTAGCGGGACAGGAGTGCAGCCGTGTCTGCAGCAGCGGGAACGCAGCCGCCGCCCGCAGCCGCCTGTCAGGGGGGGGGGGGGGGACAGACCCGCCTCGGCACGGGGACAGACGCCGGGCTGCCGCGTTACAAAGCTCGTCTGTCAGAGGCTGCGCACTAGAATGTGATGACGCCGGCTCAGCTGCCAGGGACGGTGGACGACGCAGGCCACCAGGCGCGAGCTGCGCTGGGGAACGTTCCCGTCCATTCGTCCACTCCCTGCGAAGACTGAGTCGACTCTCAACACGGTTAGGTCACGCTTTATTATTAATCGGAGCAGCAAACCAGCCCTATATCTCACTTACATCCTGGAACTTGTCACTCAGGCTGACCGTCCGGTCAAAGTCCTATTGTCCAACCGTGATGATTCACCCTGTTCCGAGGGCACTGCGTCTCCTTATTGTTAACGAATAATATCATTATCACTGCTTCTGTTGCCGTTTCATCCCTCCGGTCTTCCTCGCCATCTGGCGTTGTCCTGTAGCGAGTCGATTGATTATGCAACTGTCGGCCTAGTGCGGATACGCACTATGCGTCATCACATGTGGCTTGAAACTGAAAGTAAACCTGTCTGACCTGAGATCCTATTGTCTGACCTGTGACCCCGCTGTCTGACCGGTATCTGACCACTGTCTGACCGGTATCTGACCGTTGTCTGACCCGCGTTCCCAGGCACCACGACGGCCAGCCGCTGGTGGAGGACGACCACTACCACATCCGCCGTGTGGCCGAGGGCACGCAGCTCTCGGTGGCGCACACAGCGCCCGGTGACGCCGGCAGCTACACGGTGACGGCGCGCAACTCAGCCGGCCGCTCGGCCGCCCAGCTGCGCCTCGAGCTGCGGCCCGCCCGGCCCACCGCCGGAGACGACGCGCCGCCGCCCGTCGACAGCGACGACTACACGCCGTTCGTGCGCCGCGGCCGACCCGGCAGGACCGACAGACCGGCACGGCCCGAGAGGAGGCAGACGGCGCCGGCGGCGGCCGAGCGGGCCGCAGAGGACGGGGGTCAGCAGCAGGTGAGAGGACGGACACCAGGGGGACGCATACCGGGAGGACGGACACGGTGGGGGGGGGGGGCGGACACAAGTGACGGGTGTGGGGTACAGATGGGACGGACAGGTACAGAAGGAGGACGCAGGGGACGGCTACATAATTAGGACTTACAGAGAGCATTTATACCACAGAGAACCATTTTTACCTATATCATGCTTAACAAGAATCACTAAGCAACTATGACCTTGTTTTTCAAACCTTTCCCCGAACATTGCTTATACGACATGAAAGCATTTAGCGTAACGAGCCTTTTCTTATGTTTGAAAGTCGCTTTCATCTTAATAGCCTTATAATAGCCTCTGGAATGTGGGCGTAATTTGACGTCATATAATTATAGATTTTGGACGCCTACCAGCCTCGGTTACGCCGCTGGTCCTGCAGCTAATTTGGCAGCTCCAAAAATGCCGTTACACCACTATAGTTTACTGGTGCCCTGGCAGTTTGCCCAGCGTGTCACTACGCTGCGGTCCAAACACCAGCCTGTGCCAGCCCCGCACGGCTTTTCACATAGGTATGACCGATCTTGACCGAACACTTGACGATTTTGAGGATGCCCCGTAAAGCATTTTCCTTTAAGCACGAGTCGTCCTTATAAGTTACTTTTGTTCGCCGTCATGCTGTCCCGACCTTTTAATGAGACCGGCAGGAATGGATGGTAAAATGTTTGGGCATCGTAGGCTATTGAATGCCCTGAGCGTTGGTCAGGTTGACGGGACTTTGTCTTTTAGAACATCATATAACGGCTATAATCATATAAGAGTCCATATGTGCTCATCACATTGCTTCCAGGATAACTGTTTTCATAATTGCTTGACATAAATGAAAACATAGGCGCTCGAACTGAATACCCAAGACCAAGTTTGCATCACGTCCAGCTCAGGCCATGTGACGGTCAGTCATTGTCTCCGTGTATTTGCTCTATGAGCCCGGCCCCGGCCGGTTCATTGAGGGGGCTGCCAGGGGCGGACCGGCCGACCCCCCCCCCCCCCGCTCCGACCGAGGGGACGGCCTTGTGTCGACTCCAGCGCCGGCTGCCAACCGCCGCCGGCGACGGCGCGCCGCCGGCCGCCGGCGCACCAGTGGCCTTCCAGGTGTCTCCCGGTCGCGACACCGGCCCCCGCGCGGCGCAGTCAGTGTCTGACCGGCGCTCCAGCGGTCAGCCGGCAGTGAACGGGATGTGGTAGTGGGTGTTCGGTGCGCGATCAGTGCGTACGCTATGGGAAAATACTCGCTGGGCCAGTGCTGTGTGTTTTCAGTGTAAATACCATACTGTGCGGGGAACAGAACGCTCGCTAGGTGTGGTTGTTTTTCGTGACTGCGCTGTGGCGCCGCGCCGCATTCTGTCGCGTTGAGAAGCGTTGTGTCGCGTTGTGCCGCGTTGTGTCGCGTTGTGTCGCGCCACTGAGTGGGGGCGCTGTGGATGCTGGACGCCGTTTGGCGGCTGGCCTATCTCTCGCTGGGCTGGACGCTGGTGGCCGCGGCCGACCGTCCCGTCACCGCCACGGAGCTGCCAGAGGTAACGCTGGCTGCCGCCCACGCGTCCCAGCGGCGCCCCGCGGCGGCCCAGGGACGCACAGCGGTGTCCCAGTACCGCCCCGCGGCGGCCCAGTACCGCACAGCGGTGTCCCAGTACCGCACAGCGCCCAGGCGCCACAGAGCCGCCTCAGCCGCGGAGGGTCCGCGGGCAATAACTTAGAGCAGACACCTCTTATTGAGAGCTTACCAACTCCACAGTCAAACAGTGCGGCCGCAAGATACATGTTGACGTCGAGTCATGTATCTTCCATATTAGCCGTGACTCGGAACCCACACGTGTAGTGTGACTAAGGGGATCGAGTCCCGTGTTGCTTCTGGCCACCCCCGATCACCTTTGTGACCAGCCGTGTGATCAGTTGAGCCTTTAGCTAGCGAAGAGCCGAAGACTCTCGTCTTCTGACTCCCGTTGAGGGTATTATGTAATCGCTGCTCAGTCAGCTACCCTCCCCCTCTCCTCCGAATCTACTGTGTCGTGTGACCGCTGTTTACCGACACCCAGCTCCCTTTGTGAGCTGTGTTGCTTATGATGACCTTTGTGTTCGACAGGGGACCCGCGGCCATGAGGTGCCGGCCCCGGCTGCCCCGGCGGCCGGCTCGGCCCGTCCCGGGGACACGGCCGCCCCAGAGGAGGTGGGACAGGCTCAGTGGCGACCCGTGCCGATAGCCCGCCGGCACGCCACGCCCACTGGAGCTGCCCCTCCCACCGGCGTCGCCCCGCCCACTGCCGTCGCCCCGCCCACCGGGCCAGGGCCCTCCCCAGCAACAGGTGGGTGCAGCAAGGCGAGCGAGGGATGGAGAGGAGGGGAGGGGAGGAGGGGAGGGGATGGAGAGGAGGGGAGGGGAGGAGCAGATGAACGCAGCGGGTGGTGGCAACCAGTTGTGGAAATGTAACGCATAGACAGTAGGCACTCAGCCTACATGACTGAGAGTGAGACTATAGACATAGCGTAAAGCTATGGCTCGTATGTAGGCTGTAAAACACGGGCGGATCACTGTTTCCCGTTGTCATGGTGTTACTAGTTAACAAGGATATGAAATTAAATGTGAAAGCTGTGGTCAACAGTCAATATTATATAACTTACACAGCGGCTGTGTGTGCTATATAATATTGACTGTTGACCACAGATTTCACATTTAATGTCATATCCTTGTTACGGAGCGAGCGAAGCGAGCGGAGTCTTACGTAGAAGAACGGAAATTTCTGAGTATGAGCGGCCGTGGTCACGATTCTGCGACGCTTATATCTCAGCAACCACTTGACCGATTTACATGCGGTAATTTTTGTAGGGTAGCTTCATTCCTTCTACCAAGTATTGGACTATTCCCGATGCATGTGGGTGACCCCTTATGCACGTGCCACGTGCAAAACGAAGAGGTGTCACTTTTGTAATTGTTGCAATATCTCGGTAACTAATTAGCCGATTGCGCTGAAAGTTGGCATGCAGGTAGGCACCCACTAGGCAATGCACATCCATGTGCCGGAGTTGGGGTGCTGCTGCACGTGCGCACGTGCAGGGGTCGATTCCAGATCTCGAGAACGGCTGGGCCGATTGTGCTCAAATTTGGCACATCGCTAGAGACCGGTTAGTAGGGTGCCGTGCACAAGTCAGCTGGAGGTAGCCCCTCGAAATTTCGCACGTGCAAGGCTCACCCTCTCGCTCGCTCCGTTAGTCGCCCCAAAAGGCGTTATACTGGTTACGGAGCGAGCGAAGCGAGCGGAGTCTTACGTAGAATAACGGAAATTTCTGAGTATGAGCGGCCGGCCGGCCGGCCGTGGTCACGATTCTGCGACGCTTATATCTCAGCAACCACTTGACCGATTTACATGCGGTAATTTTTGTAGGGTAGCTTCATTCCTTCTACCAAGTATTGGACTATTCCCGATGCATGTGGGTGACCCCTTATGCACGTGCCACGTGCAAAACGAAGAGGTGTCACTTTTGTAATTGTTGCAATATCTCGGTAACTACTGGGCCGTTTGCGCTGAAAGTTGGCATGTAGGTTGGCACCCACTAGGCAATGCATATCCATGTGCCAGAGTTGGGGTGCTGCTGCACGTGCGCACGTGCAGGGGTCGATTCCAGATCTCGAGAACGGCTCGACCGATTGCGCTCAAATTTGGTACACGGTTACGGAGCAGTTAGTAGGGTGCCGTGCACAAGTGAGTTGGGACCCATTTTGCACGTGCGCACGTGCAGGGTGCCGCTTCCAGATTTTGAGAACGGCTGAGCCGATTGTGCTCAAATTTGGCACATCGCTAGAGACCGGTTAGTAGGGTGCCGTGCACAACTCAGTTGGAGGTACCACCTCGCAATTTCGCACGTGCAAGGCCCACCCTCTCGCTCGCTCCGTTATTCGCCCCAAAAGGCGTTATACTGGTTAGTAACACCATGACAACGGAAAACAGTGATCCGCCCGTGTTTTATTCCCTTTCCAACTTTCTTCTGAGCGACAACAAATTTAGTGACATTTTTTAGCAACTTGGAGCGGGCCTTGTAATAATATGAGCACTGTAAGGGGTAGGGGCAATAAGGAAATAATATTGCCTTCTGTGACGCTTCAGTATTTATCCGGTGAAGACCTCAACAAGCATTATTGCCATCGGCTACGCCTCGAACAATTAAGTATGTTTCGGCTTTCACCCTCGGGCTACAGTGACCGAGACGTCACATCGGGTAATAATTTTTCCTCTTGCCCGCTACCCCATGCAGTTTTCAAGAAGGTAGTCACCTTCTCGTAACATCATCCACCTTCTCAGTTCACACTTCACATCCCCAGTGCACTCTGCGCTGCGCCGCGCCGTAGGCCCTGGCTGTGTAGACTGTGCCGCCGCACTCCTGGGCCGCGCGGCACAGCCTGCCCGACAGTGGTCTGTCGGCGCCGCGCCGGCCGGGCCGCCGCGCCGCGCCGTCCCAGACGTAATCTGAGCCGCGCGGCCCCAACGTCCCGCTCCTACGGACACCATAAAACTTGCGCGTATACATCATTTGTTTATACGATCCATATGCGCCGTCAGGAGCCGATGTGGGCTTTGGTTACGGAAGAGCCTTTGGTTACGGAAGAACAACTATTTCTGACCGTCAGCGATGGCCGGCGGTGCGTGGGGCTGTTTATTGGAGGCCCGCCAGTGCGGCGGACGCAGGGCGCACGAAGACGAGGTCGTGCAGAGTGTTGGGCCACATGTTATGCCATGGGAGCTCCCCGTAGTCTTGTTCGATGGATGAAAACGTCAGTGCTAAAACTTCAGCGGGTTTCCTGGAAAAGAGCCTGATGTTTCAGAACAATACAAACTTCAAGGAAAATAATCGTATTGCGTGAATGACATCAGGTGATACAAGGCGTCTATTTACCAAATATAGGAATTAGTAACTAATAAGTGCTCGTTTGGATTATCAGGATAATGTTTGGTTATTTCAGGTGCCGCCGGTGACCCGTCGGCCCGCCTGGCCTCCGTCAGTCCCGCAGAGAGTCCCGTGCTGCCGGTCCGCTCTCCGCGGCTGGGCAACACCCTCGACGGAAACAGGTAGGGTCACCGACACCCTCGACGGAAACAGGTAGGGTCACCAACACCCTCGACGGAAACAGGTAGGGTCACCGACACCCGAGGGAAACAGGTAGGGTCACCGGCTGGGCAACACCCTCGACGGAAACAGGTAAGATCACCGCCTGGGCAACACCCTCGACGGAAACAGGTAGGGTCACCGACACCCTCGAGGGAAACAGGTAGGGTCACCGGCTGGTGTTCCCGTGTGGTTCCAGTGGCGGATCCAGGGGGGGGGGCAAAATGGGCATTTGCCCCCCCCCCCAAACGGCATAATTTTAACATTACGCCTATGGACGATGCATGGAAAGAATCGATAAATTGTTATGGTTTGCCCCCCCCCCCCCAAACCTCTGAGCTGGATCCGCCTCTGTGTGGTTCTATGCATATCGGATAATTAAACGATAGAGCAACATCGTAACTTTTCATGAAATCACATACCGAGTAGATTACGTTTTTGTTCATCAGTTCATCACACTTAAATCTACCCTGCCGTCCCCCTCCCCCCAAAAAAACGCCGGTCAAAAAAGTGACTGAAGTGTTGTTATACTGGTCTCGTATTTACCTGCAAAAAAGTGATCTGATGGAGAGTGTCATTAAAGTTACAAGTCTCATCGCATATTTCAACTATGAATTTGACCTCTGGCTTTCATCCCCTGACTTCCGTCGTCACCTTCATCAATTAGCCTCACTAGTGGCTTCCGGCCGTGCGCTCTGGTTGCGGGGCCGGCGAAGATGACCTGCTGTTGAACTGCCATTGACCTCTCGTTGACCTTCGTTCTCCCACCGTTGAATTGTCGGCCTGCCTTTGACCTGTCGCTGACCCGCCGCTGACCCGCCGCTGACCTCCCGTTGACCTCCTGCTGACCACCCGCTGACCCGCCGCTGACCTCCCGCTGACCTCTGGCCGCGCAGACTGGTGTCGGAGCCGGCCGAGGTGACGGTGCGCTCGTCGGGACCGGGAGCGCCGCAGCTCGTGCACGCCCTGTACGACCGCAAGGTCAGGGTCGGAGACCGGCTGGTGCTCGCCGTCAAAGGTCAGTGGCCACGCGGCGGCTGAACACTGGCAGACACTCACTGACTGGCCCCGTATCTCTGAGAAACATTTTTTGTAGGACTATTGAATACCTAGTTGCGAGTGAAAACAAAATTATTTGATGAGCCAGTTAGCTCCCTGCAGATGCCCTGTGCTATATTTCATTCACTCCCCCACGCTAATTTTGAGTGGCCTTGACCGTTGGTGCGGCCGGTCGGAACAGGACCGGCGGCTATTTTCTCTCGGCCGACTCTGGGTCACGTGACCGCTGTGGGCTCGACGACGGCCGAAAATACCGCGCACCGTCCTGCCGCTGGCAGCGATACACACCACCGGCGCCACGCGCACACGGAGCGGGGACTGGGGCACACAGACGGACAGACGGACAGACGGACCGGGCCAGTGGTGGTGGTCACCAGCGCCGCGCCGCTGCCACCGGCTGTCACAGCGGCATTAGCGGCATAACAGCGCGGTCACTGGATAAACGCGTCGCGCTGGGCGGCCGACAGACGTGACGTCACTGAGGGACTCTCTGACGTCACTGGGGGCGTCTGGGTCCCGGCAGACGGCGGTATTTTAACACACGCCGCGGTCACAGTCGGTAACACACAGGAGCTAGGGGCGGGACCGAGCTGACAGTTCCCTCCCTGGCCTATGGAGTATGGTGACAGATGTATCGGCATCTGCAGGTGTATTTGAGCGGGATCTTGGCGAATTGATAGGGGAGAGCGGGGCCAGTTGAACCACTTTTTATCTATTGACATGCACAGCGAGATCTAGTTGTCATATCGAAAAATGCACAATGCCATGAAAAAGTATGCTCTTTTGGTTTTATTTTAACCCTCGCCGGCCGAGGGGGGGGGGGCGGGTGCCGCCCCCCCCCCATAGGGTTTTTTCGCGATAGCTCCGAACACGCTGGCGATAGAGAGCTGAAACTTGGCATACCTGACCTTTGATCCAAGCCGCATCTTTTGACACCAACCGCATTTTTGGGTCAGGTCAGGTCACTGACCTATGACGTCATAAGTGAACCTCTGCACGGTCTTCAGATGTCGCAACTTCGCAACGCCCTCACTGCCAGAGGAGATGTCACAGGGAAATGAAACTTGCAGAATCTAGTATCCATTATGAGTCTCACAACTTGTATATCTCGGATTTTTCCTAAAGGTCATATGAGGTCAGGTCATTTTCGTGACCTCACCATTATAAGTCAATGGGGAAAAATGAAAACTGCTATTCTGGCGCCGGGAACGATCTCCAACTATCTCAAGCACACAGAATCGTGATTCGATGCACTCCTTGTAAGGTTAGATGCGTCACTTTTGCAATGTTGACCTTCCGTGACGTCATTTATGACGTCATCAAGGTCATATTAGTTTTTCGTCAATAACTCCCGATCAAATTGAGCTAGCGAGTCGAGAAAGCCACCAATGGACTCAGGAAGACCTGCCGAATCGAATGATATGCGACATGACCTCTTTTGACCATCTTTGTGACCTGGGGGTGCTGACCTGACCTTGACCTGAGGTCAACACCCTAAGTTGACCTGATCCGAACAAAAAGTATATCATTCGACGCGCCTGAGCGAGGCGAACACGATGCTGCCAAAATCGTGGCTCTGCGGCCGTTTTTTGCGAAGTTATTGACCAAAAACTGAACCGTACCCTGGGGCACTTGACCTGACCTCAGAGGTCACCGGTTGACCTAGGACCTTAAAATCGGGTACCAATCTCTGCGTCTCGTAACGGCACATACGCTCGTTTTTTCCGCGACGCGCTAGCCCCACCAGGGGCGAAACGGCGAGGGGGGGGGGGGGGTCGTACCCGCCCCCCCCTCGGCCGGCGCGTATGTAGAAAACCAATAGGTCCGGCGAGGGTTAAGATATGTAAAATTATGTTTCAAACATATTTTGCTGCCAAACGCATGCTTATAAAACAGTTCTACGCCCGTTTCAAATGACCCCGATGCGAGGGTCAATTGAACCAGCCCATGGGGTCAATTGCACCTATCCTTAACAATGGGATGTGTTCCTCTTTAAGGCCACTTTCTTAAGGAGATATTTTGTCCGGTTTACTTTTCCAAATGCTACATTCAATAGGTCGTTGGAAAGCTAAAAGTGCAAAGTTCCTCATAATAGGTGACATAAAGTACATAGACTATGGTAAAATGGGCGGATGAGGAAAATGAGAAATATATCAGGCTATAGTGTGCTTTCAAGCAAAAGGCTGGAGAAAAAGGGGTCAAAAATTGAGCTCTATTAAACTACTATTTCAGTTCAAAAGCTTATTTCAAAGGTGGACTATTTCCTTTAATGTTTACAGCCCCTGAACAATAACCATTGCAAAGGTCACCGGGGTCCATTGAAACGGCCTGTGGCCCTGTTTCAACTGACCCTCAGAGAAGCGTTTCAATTGACCCCATCCGCTCCCGCCATCTCGCACGCGCCGTAAAGCACATGTCAAACGAGCTGGAGGGACGGCATCATGCTGAATGAAGGGCCAAATAAGGTGTTATTCCGGAGCCAGGAGTTCTTCTTTCAGCAAACAAAGGTATATGAGATATCACAAAATATTCATAAAAACGATTTCTGCCAAACGCCCCTCAAAAACACAAAAACAAGTGTCAAATCAAAATTACCGTCCGTTTGCCGCCCAAACGCCGTTGACAAAGGAAGTAAGTGGTCGAGCGCGGATGCGCAGTGGTGTCGGCAACGCCATATGTTGCATACTGTTGAAAATAAAGCCATGTTTCATCTGACCCCGTGTTTCAACTGGCCCCGCTCTCCCCTATTATTTGCTCCAAGTCTGTTATCTTTAACCCTATTAGTGGCAGGGGGGGGGGGGGTTGTTTTTATCCACCCCTCAGGTTTTTCGGGAATATCTCCGAAACCGCTGAAGCTACGATGCAGAAATTTTCTGACTTTTCCTAAAACTAAATTGGGCACATGCCCTGACAATTTCAAGTTCATAACTTTACCAGGGGCGGCTCCAGAGCACTGGGAGTTGGGGGTCCTATTCGTGAAGCGAGTCATTTGGGCGAAGATCACGATGCTGCACCAGTTTTACGAACAGTGAATGAAAGGTATCATGTGATAACATATACAAAGTTATTGTGCATCCTCTTTTGACACGTTTTTGCTATAATAGGCGGATCCAGGCGTCCAAAAAGGGGGGTTATTTTTTTACCTCCCAACATAGGTGCCCTGACACCGCCTATGCATGACCAATACAATTTTAGTCGTTCTCTCATAAGAAAATTGCAACATAACAAGACCATTGCCACCCTTTTTAGAAACAGTACCAACAAAAACCTTATTTACTATACTTTTTGTGTACCCCCAATCTCAATGATCTGTATCCGCCTATGATTTTTGAAAATGCATATTTTTAGGATCCATGTGAATTCCTGGTTCATTCTCTATCGATCGGCAAAAGTTGCGTTAAGATTGGTTCAGAAACCTGGCCGTGATAAACAGTCTAAAATGTATCTGCAATTTGCCCGTTTTTACCCCCCTCTACCCCCCTATTGACATTTTTTAATTTTATTTTCTTAGAGATGTAGATCTCGTTGAGCCAAATCGAATGCCGTTAGAATTTTGAAAATCGGCCCGTTAGATCTCGAGATATCAAGGGGGGTCGTAAACAGCCCCCCCCCCCTGCCACTAATATGGGGTAGCCAGGAGCCTGCCACTAATAGGGTTAAGGCCATCGTCGGACGGTGACTGCAGCCGGTCAGTCTATAGTGCCCTGGGTACCGTGCGCTGTTGCCTGTTGACCACCGCCGGGCACTGAGCTGCGCCTGTGACTGTCCGCCGCTACTCGTATGACTGCTCTCTGGCTGTCCCACTCTGTGCCCGCTCTCTGTGACAATGACCGTGCGCCGGCAGTGGCCGACCCGTCGGCGGTGGCCTCAGTGCGCTGGTTCAACAAGGACCGGCCGGTGCCGCTGGGCGACCGGTGCTCGGCCGACAACGACTCGGACGGCAGCTGGCGGCTGCAGCTGGCAGCTGCCGAGCTCACCGACGACGGCCAGTGGCGGGCCGAGGTGACGGGCGCCGCCGGCGGCGTCACCGACACCTGGTGCACCGTCATACTGGCCGGTACGTGCCCCGTCATACTGGCCGGTACGTGCCCCGTCATACTGGCCGGTACGTGCACCGTCATACTGGCCGGTACGTGCCCCCCGTCTCCCACCGTCATACTGGCCGGCGTGTCTCCCACCGTCATACTGGCCGGTACGTGCCCCGTCATACTGGCCGGTACGTGCCCCGTCATACTGGCCGGTACGTGCCCCGTCATACTGGCCGGTACGTGCCCCGTCATACTGGCCGGTACGTGCCCCCCGTCTCCCACCGTCATACTGGCCGGCGTGTCTCCCACCGTCATACTGGCCGGTACGTGCCCCGTCATACTGGCCGGTACGTGCCCCGTGTCATACTGGTCGGTACGTGCCCCGTCATACTGACCAATACGTGCCCCGTCATACTGGCCGGTACGTGCCCCGTCATACTGGCCGGTACGTGCCCCCGTCTCCCACCGTCATACTGGCCGGTACGTGTCTCCCACCGTCATACTGGTCGGTACGTGCCCCGTCATACTGGCCGGTACGTGCCCCGTCATACTGACCAATACGTGCCCCGTCATACTGGCCGGTACGTGCCCCGTCATACTGGCCGGTACGTGCCCCCGTCTCCCACCGTCATACTGGCCGGTACGTGCCCCGTCATACTGGTCGGTACGTGCCCCCCCCCCCCTTCTCCCGCCACGGAGAGCCGACTGCGTGCACAATGCCTGTGCTGTGTCAACTGAGGATCATTTATGTAACGTTCAAACCAAACAGATCAAACGATGAGCACAAAATCGTGTTTATTGAAAGAGAAAGGAGAAACCGTAAGCTTCAGTGCAATAAGTACCTGCCGGTGCCGTGACATTGTCCGTGTGCCGCCAGTGCCGCGCAACTACCGCAAGCCGCGCTTCCTGGAGACGCTGCGCGCGCTGCTCACCGACGAGGGTCTGGTGTCGTTCGAGTGTAAGGTGGTCGGCTACCCGACGCCCGTGCTGCGCTGGTTCAAGGACGGCCAGGAGCTGAAACCGGGCGACGTGTACCAGCTCAGCGGCACCAACTCACTCGGTAACCAGCTCTCACCAACTCACTCGGTAACCAGCTCTCACCAACTCACTCGGTAACCAGCTCTCAGCAATTCACTCGGTAACCAGCTCTCACCAACTCACTCGGTAACCAGCTCTCACCAACTCACTCGGTAACCAGCTCTCAGCGACACCAGCTCACTCGGTAACCAGCTCTTACCGACTCAATCGGTAACCAGCTCTGAACGTTTCCAACTCACTCGGTAAGTGCTGGTGTTATCCATAAGTGGTGGTATGTAAGGTACGGTGAAATGAACACTTACTGGCTAGGATTCATGATAGGTAACAACAGTAACTTATCATTTATATTGCATGGTGCGTGATAGGAAACAGCGATCACTGGTAATGGAGTATTGCATATCACGTAATAGGAAACGGCATTCATAAATATTGCCTGCCCAGGTACCTAAATAGATTGTATGACCATTTCTAGATTTATGACAAGTGCCACGAATGAATGAACATTGTTGACCGTCTATAACGAAATCATCAAACATAAAAATGGTTCCGTGGAATGCTGAACATATCGACACTGTCTGAAGTTATTGTTTGAAACTATATCGTCATTTCATTCCTCTCTTCCCAACTGTAATTTTGCTGCCATCAAGGATCAAGTTATTGAGCTGGGTGCGTAAGTACCATATTAGTATCTACAGTCGCATGTATACCTATCAGTCAGTCGATTGTTTTTTTTTTTTGCGGGGGGAGGGGGTTGTCTATTTGCTGGCCGGCAAGGTGAGAGAGGCGAGAGCATAATTGAATTGTCAGCAGAATGAAATTATATCTACCTACTGTCCGGGATGCTTGATCATTTTCTAACCTAAAAGCAAAAACACGGACAAATGACTGCGCTCTCTACTACAGTGTGCAACCTGTTTTTCTAAATCGAAAATTAAAAAATCATTTTCACTCCTTTGGTGATGCACGTTTCTGACAGTTACGTGCGTCGTTGCCAGGCGTATACGCGTGTCTGGCGCGCAACTGTATGGGCACGGCCGAGTCGACGGCCGAGCTGACGCTGGCGGACATCGAGAACCAGCTGAGCGACGAGGAGCGCTGCAAGGTGTGCCAGGGCCAGCTGGCGCCCCGCTTCAGTCGCGCGCTCAGCCCCGAGACGGTGGTCGGCATCGGCGACCGGCACCGATTCACCGTGGAAGGTCAGTGGCCCAGCCCGCGCTTCACCCCGTAAAAGGTCAGTGTCCCCCCGCCCCACTGTGGAAGGTCAGTACCCCCACCGCTTCACCGTGGAGTGTATTGACCCAGTCCCCACTCCACCCCACCGGCCCACTGTGAAAGGTCATTTATCCCCCCCCCCGCCGCTCCACCGTGGAAGGTCAATGACCCAGTCCCCACCCCACCCCACCGCTCCACCGTGCAGAAGCTCGTCGCCCCTCCCCCCCCCACTGTCCCTCGTGGAAGGTCAGTGTCCCTCACCCCACCGTGTAGGAAATATGACCTGAGTCCTACCTATTTCTCTAAAAACTTGCATTTACCTAGAAGTTTTTAGATTTACAATTCATAAGTAGACATTTTTTTTCAAATTGCATGCCAACTAATTTCGCGAGCTTCCCGCCAGCGGCAACCAAGCGGCTACAAAGGAAACTTGAGCGGCACCTCCGATAAAAATTATTTGTGTACAAAATTTTAGGCAGTAAAAATACTTTGCAATCAAAAACAATAAAATGCAACCGATATTGCATTTTTTTCGAATACCTATAAAGGTGTAGTTTTTTTGTGGAAGAAAGTACCTGATTTATTTTAAAATAATGGTAATGCTGCAAAATAATAAATAATATATAAATAATGGCTTACAATGCCTCATAATAGAGAAAAATTAGAACGCAGTCAACAGCAGGAAATGTCGAATGCATTTATGACGCGCGAATGACAAAACGACGATATTTAGATATGAATGTAGGTATTGTGTTTTAGGGGACGCCGGTGAAAACAGGGCGCCGGAGGGCATATTAGTCACGTGACATTTGGAACTTCTCCCGCTCCAAGGGCCTTCTATATCCCAAACGTCACGTGTAATTTTCACGAACCTTGATCAAATCGCCCCAGGCGCCCTGTTTTCACCGTCGTCCGTTTTAGGGAATCGAATGTCCTAAGTAAAAAAGTACATAACACGACTCAGCATATTTCCTCCCTGCGCAATTTCCTTACCTTGGTATCTCCTTATTCCTTCCATTGCCACCTGCTTAGTACCGCTTAGTACCGACGCCTTGGTACCGAACAAGAAAGGACGTGACTACTAGTCAAGAGAACGACTACAGTGAAGTTGGACGCTTGGGTCGCAAGGCTACGCGTCCTATTCCAACAACAACAACAACAACGACTCAGCATAGCATATTTATTCTACATAATTGACTGTTTTGCATTATTGCTAAGGAATTGGTCAAATCCCTCTTTTGCACCCTGGGCTCAAAATTGAATAAAAACCACACCATGTTGTCACAAACCATGTACCTAACAACGTAGAAAGTTGCTCATACAATCGCTAAATGCTTAAAAAAAATCGGGTACAATGCAAATAGAAATAAAACCTAATCTAACCTGACCTAACCTCAACCAACCTACAACCTACAACCCACAACCTACCAACCTACCAACCTACAACCTACACCTACCAACCTTCAACCTACCCTACAACCTAACCTACAACCTAAATCTACTTATAATATACCACATAACCTTACCCGACTCAACGAGTGGTTGGATGTAACTTATAAATGTTTTGTGTAAAAAGTAAGTTTTAAGTATATATGTGGGATCTCACTTTTCTACCTTAGAAGGATGTGTTCTTTCTTTTCATAATTTTGTTTTGTGAATTTCTTCAGTATAAAGAGTGCAAAAGAGGGATATGCCCCAAAAATTAATTAAATCCTGATTCCTGAACACCAGGACCACTGCAATTTCAGGTTTGTATTTACAATGCTAAATACTTTGATTGAAGCTTCCGGTCTTCGTGCAACAGAAAGTTCGCGATTTTAATGTTTCTTAGCAAACTTGTCCTGCAAAATAGTTTGCAAAATAGTTTGCAACGGTTACACAAACTTTTTGTACACGGCTAGAAGCCATGCAGAAATTCGCAAAATATAAACCAAAGGAAAAAACAGACTTTTTAGCCCGAAAAAGTGAGACAAGACGTGAATGCTTGCATAGGGCATCAACGACCGCATATCTGACAAACTCGGTACATTGTATATTGCCAGGGGCGTCGCCACGGCTCCCCAACTTGTACGGACACATTCTGTCAGCCGTAACACTCTTCAGAGTTGTAAGCCCACGCGGGCCCGTGGAGGGCATTTTTCGTCCTCCTCCCCCCCCCCCCCCCGGACGAATAGTTGCGATAGCCCCCGAATGCCTAGGGGCTTCGGAAAAAATACAAACACATTTTTGATACCTATCATTAGGGTAGATGGCAGGTCAGCGACCCCGAGCTGCGGCTTTTTTTTTGCAGAGTTCTTCAGCAAAGAAGGTGGTGCCAACGCATTAGTCATATCAAGATGCGTCGAATGACATATATAGTTAGGTTGTTTGAAACGGTCAAGTCTTATGTTGACCTCATGTGACCTCGAATGGCCTTTGGTTGACTTTTGCGCATGATCAGTCTCATTTGCTGTATTTGAAGTCGCTGGTCACGATTTCTTCATTTTCTTTTGCTCTAAGCATTCATTAAGTTTAGTTAGAGCCTCAGGATGACAAAAGTCACATAATTATTATGGCTGACGTATCAGTGAATTAGTCATAGAATGATGCAGAGTGTAACGAAATTATCCGCACACCTTTCTTTCCGCTGTAATTAAGAAACAAACAACCTGAGGTTGTCTCCCTTTGATGATGATATAGCCACCTTTCAATAAGATCATATTTAGAAATGCCTAGAACATTTCAGCTGCTGGGTTTTTAAGCACAGTGGGTTTGATGTGGACCAACGCCGTATTAGCATGTGCTACTGCCTACACAGTATACAGTTGCTCTGTCCTGGTGCCGGGTGTCCCCTTATTCACCTCTTGCTGAACAAAAGTCCATAAGATCTCGATGAAATTAGGGTGAAAACTATTTCCAAGCCGTAGTCCGTTAGTCCAGAAGGATAAGAGCTTCTCCCGGCGTCACTTCTCATTCTCCTACGGACTAATTTGTCTGACAGGATGTTGCTCCGGTAATACTCGTCAGTCGTCACTGGACACTGATGGTGGACTCTTCTGTCAATGGGTTGGTCAATGCACAGCTGGAACATCGCACAGCAGCTGAAAGCTGAATATGCTCCAGATCTGGATCTCGGCCGCATGCTTAACCCGCGCCCCGTAGGGGGGGGCCGAAACGGCCCCCCCTGTCCTTTTCGGTCGATATCTCCTAAACCGCTTCAGATATCGCCACCAAACTTTCAGGACCCCTCCGGGCATCAATTTTACACATTGTGACCAAAAATTTTTCCAGAGGCTATGATAGGTTGGCCACAAATGACGTCAGAATGACGTCATGTTCTGTCATTTTCGACCGAAAAAAGACCTTCGCGAGAAGACCTGTCAGGCCTACAGCTTTGAAGATACAGAAAAATGATCAAGACATAAAAGGTGTAGAATTGACAGGGCTACAAAACTGCTATCTCGGATTTTTGAAATTTTTGAGTTTTGAACCCCGAAAATCAAAAAAACATTTTTTTTGGATATATTAGCCAAAAAATCCAAAAAGTTTTTTGAATTTCAAAAAACCCGGAATATATGTGATAGTACCTATCGTCTTCTATCTACATACCGAATTTCAGATCGATACCTCGTTTTTTGGCCAAGTTATAGCGAAAAAACTGTTCAAAATTGATGACGTCAAATTTTCAAACTCAATTTTTGGCAGTTCTAGACCTCGTAGAGCAAAACAAAGACCACCATTAGACTCCCCGTGACGAGCTGCATCGAATCGATACCCATTTTATTAAAAAATATCAACTTTGAAATTTGACCTTATTTGACCTGACCTTGACCTGACCTTTACCAAAATGTGACCTAGGCTGGCCCCAAAGGCTGCCTAACCCACATAATCGCATTTGTCATGTAAAATGGACCATAAAACATGTATCACACGACACTTTCATATTGTGACCCCGGTGACCTGACCTCGCTGTGACCTGACCTGGTATCAGTGACCTCAGATAGCAAAGTATGTGTTTGACGAACAATGTACCATCGATGGTTTTCAATAAATTACCAATTAACTCGATTTCACAACACATTTCTTGAAATGCCTGTGAACGGTGAAAATCTGACCTTTGACCTGACCTGTGACGTCATCGGTTTGACCTAGGTCAATGAAATTTGGTCACAAGGTAGTTCCCGGGTGGGGCTATCGAACGCCGTTGGAATTTTGAAAATCGGCCGGTAACTTTCCGAGATCTTAGGGGGGGCCGAAACGGCCCCCCCCTACGGGTGGTAGGGTCCGCCGGTAGCCCTACGGGGCGCGGGTTAACGCCGGTGACGGCCGGGACGTTTGAGTTACTGGCAGCCAACACAAGGCCGTTTTGACGGTTCAAAGGACAATACAGCGCGAATAGCTGCCCATTTCACCACACCATGCCTTGCTTATGTGTTCCTTCGACCAGTGGATGCGTCTTGGCGTGAGACTAAAAGTGGTGCACCGGCTATTTTTCCGTCAATTTCGTTGTCTTTTTCAGTTTGATGAGCAGAAGAACCAAGGTAAGGGGCGGATAGCGGTGGGTCATGATGTGGGCCCTCTTATCATCGGTCTTGAATTCAAGTCAATCTTCGTTGGCAAAGGGTGGCTTTTGCGGTCGCAGCCTGGCTGAGTTCACCAATCAAGTCCCAGCTTATTACGCCTCAGGCAGATGTGCAGTTGGCTGCTGCTGATGTCCATGGAGCTGCTGGCAGACCAGCTTCAGGCTCATTGCCGCAATGCCACAAACATGCTTCCTAACACAAAAGGAGAGAGTGTGCTCCTTTCTGTCCATTGCCTTTGACGAAAACTAGTTATCAAATGAACCCGTCGGTGACTCGATTAATTACTCAGGGCAAGAGTCATCTGGCAAAGGTAGGTCTTTGCTGAGTTGAGAGCCGATACCGGAGGCACTTATACAGCCAGCATTCCCGCTTCTAACATCAGAAAAGAAACTGTGCGAACAGATATGACTAACAAATATATGTCCAGATAATTTCGTTACACCCTAAATGCTAGTAGTAAATACTCATGCGTGACATTGACTTTGGGGCTGCCTTGGATCGTAACTTTACCCACAAATAGGGGACTGATAAGCGTTAAGCTACTTCAAAACATGTGCAAAGACTGTTTTGCAGTCGTCGAAACTTGTACGGACATTCCGTACAAGTTTTCGGGCCTTCCAAAACTTGTACGGACACTGTCCGTAGTGTCCGTAGCGGTGGCGACGCCCATGTATATTGCCATTATTTGTCAAGATTTTTAATGTTAGGCTAGGTGCAGCAGCAACAACAACAACAACATGGATGGAACTTTTCCAGGGAAGTTGGTGGGGCAAGAAGTCGTCAAACCCACAATGTCCAATTATTAAGTTGAATAAAATGCCACACTGAATCAATTCCTATCATTACAGATATAATATTTTGCGTTAAACAGACATTCCAAAGCGAAAGATTAATTTGCAAAGCAACAAAGTCTTATAAATCAGCTAAAGTTGGTGGGGCAAAACGCTTTTTGGTGGGGCAAAATAGCAAGTTGGTGGGGCAGCCGCCCCACCAACTGTATAGGAAGCTCCACCCCTGAACAACAACAACAAAAATATCGCGTCGCGGCGGGCCGCGGTTTTCTTTACTCGCGCCAAAAACTGGAGCGTGTGGTAGAGACGCCTCCACCAGGGCAGAGCTGAAGCTGTCGTAATTGCAAGAATACGAGTAGTGTGGGCAGGGCCGGAGGCAGAAGTCCACTACAGTAGTCATTCTGGAGATGTAATGGAAAACAATCAAAACTTATTTTGCTACCTGCGTATTTTCCTAGAAGCAGCCCATTGAGTTAATGGCTTACGGTAGGGTTCAATCGACGGCGTCATAATCCAAAGGCGGACTAGCGTCACCGTGTCCTAAAGTACCTCGGTCGCCGATGGTGCCAGTACAAACAGGCGCGGTGGGCCTCCAGTCTCCGCGGCCGGCCCACTGACTGGGTGTACATATGTGTGACGTCATACCGGCAGTGACGTCATACCCGGAGGCGGAGGTGGCGTGGTACCGTGAGCAGGAGAAGGAGCCGGTGCAGACGAGTGACTCGGTGTCCACGGGCCGCGAGGCTCCGGGCCGCCACCACCTGCAGCTGGAGGGGGTGCAGCTGCAACACCAGGTCAGTCAGTGCAGCCGCACCAGGTCAGTCAGTGCAGTCGCACCAGGTCAGTGTAGCCACACCAGGTCAGTCTGTCTAGCTGCACCACCAGGTCAGTCGGTGCAGCCGCACCGCCAGGTCAGTGTAGCCGCACCACCAGGGCAGTGTAGCCACACCAGGTCTTTTTTTTAAAGGTCAGTCCGTGCAGTCGCACCACCAGGTCCGTCAGTCCAGCTGCATCGCCAGGTCAGTCGCCGTCTGCCGGCTCAGGACTGGGGTCGGCCGCCCCGGGCTGTCGGCCGCGGTAGCTGCCCCCAGCCGGCCGGCTCCGGACTGGGGTCAGTCGGCCGCCCCGGGCTGTCGGCCGCAGCTGGCTGCAGTGCTCCATGGGTGTGCTAAAGCTGAGCACCTTGTCACTTTTCTCTGATGTTGATAACAGCTTACAAGAGCCAGTTAGTGCGCCGGAACAAAAGCGATAGTAGTAGCAACACAGTGATCCAATAATGCCATATGTAAAATAAACAGCGGGCTTTGAGCGTTCAATGCTCCTTTGAACCCCATCGCCACTCGGCCCCCACCTGTCCGGTCTGATGACGCTGGCTGTTGATATGGAAGGCCCTGTCCCCTGCCGTGTGACCAGGGCGAGTGGCGGTGCGTGGCGACCAACCCGGCCGGCCAGGCGGTCACCACCGGCCGGCTGACGGTCAACCGGCCCAAACACTACCGGGCGCCCTACTTCCTCGAGCCGCTGCGGGCCTCCCTCACCGAGAGCGGCACCGTCAACCTGCAGTGCAAGGTGGGCTGCCAGGGACTCAGGGGACTCAGGTGGTGGGGACCCTGCAACTCTCACGTCAATCTGGCACTAACTTGGTCACCCTCCCCCAGCTCCCCCCAGGTGGAGGGTGACTGACTGACTGACTGTACTCCCCATGTCCCCCTCAGGCCGTGGGGACTGACCGTTACCCCCTGTCCCTCCAGGTGGTGGGGACTCTGACGCCCCCCTCAGGCGATGGGGACTGACCGTTACCCCTTGACCTCCCCCAGGTGATGGGACTAATTGTACCCCACCCCCTCCCCTCAGGTGGTGGGGACTCTGACCGTTACCCCTCCCCCAGGTGGTGGAGACTGACCGTTACCCCTCCCCCCCAGGTGGTGGGGACGCCGCAGCCAGTACTCCAGTGGTTCAAGGACGGCGCCGAGCTGAAGGCCGGCGACATCCATCGCATCACCTCGGGCGGCGACGGCACCTGCTGCCTGGGCAGCTACACCTGCCGCGCCGTCAACTGCATGGGCTCGGCCTCGTCGACCGCGGAGCTGATGGGCCTCGAGGGTAGGTCAACCGCGGGACGGGTCACCAGTCACCACAGCCGCGGGCACTGGGCCGAACTCACACAGTCCAACAGCTGTCGCCAATTTCTCATTACACCACAAAATCAGTACTTTTTGTCTTATAGGGTGCTTTAGGATGCACTGCCTTTGATCCGTGGTCCATGACCTGTGACCTGTGACATGTGACATGTGACCCGTGACCGTGACCTGCCCACGGCGCGTTGACAGAGATGAAGCGTCTGAAGGGTGAGCACGGTCCGCCGGCGCCGGCCGCCGGGCAGCACCGCGAACCGTTCGGCCTGGCCAGAAACACCTCGCTCTCCACCATCAACGAGGAGCGCACCTCGCAGATGATGTCGCTGCTCGAAACCGCCCAGCTGGGCACCGACACCTTCCAGGTAAACCACTAGGGGCACTGACACCTTCCAGGTAAACCGCCCAGCTGGGCACCGACACCTTCCAGGTAAACCACTAGGGGCACCGACACCTTCCAGGTAAACCGCCCAGCTGGGCACCGACACCTTCCAGGTAAACCACTAGGGGCACTGACACCTTCCAGGTAAACCGCCCAGCTGGGCACCGACACCTTCCAGGTAAACCACCCAGAGCACTGACACCTTCCAGGTAAACCGCCCAGCTGGGCACCGACACTTTCCAGGTAAACCAATAGGGGCGCTGACACCTTCCAGGTAAACCGCCCAGCTGGGCACCGACACCTTCCAGGTAAACCAATAGGGGCGCTGACACCTTCCAGGTAAATCGCCCATGTCACCGGTACCTACCTTCCAGGTAAACCATCCATAGCACCGGTATCCTCCAAGTCAGCCGCACAGGGCACCGGTACGCCGTGCAGTCGGCGTAAACCAGTGCACGGACTCTTCACATTCGGCTTAAAAGAAACCTGATGCGTTGTCCAATTTTCTTGTTTCATGGCACCATTTTCACAAAATGATATTTGTAGGTATAAGAAATTATTGCGTTAAGCACCTACATGCGTGCCGCGTCGGTGTCAGTGTCCCAGGCGCCGGCGCTGGACGGCTCTGTGGTAAGGGTGTCGGTGTCATTGTGTCAGTGTCAGTGTTAGTGTGTCAGTGTCAGTCAGTGTGTCAGTGTCAGTCAGTGTGTCAGTGCCTCTGTGTCACGCCTGTCTCCGGCCGCCAGACGCCGGCGCTGGACGGCTCCGTGGTGTCTGTCGTGGTGGACGGCCAAGAGGTCTCGGCGGCTGTGTTCGGCACGGGTGACGTTAGCCTGCAGCAGGTGCACGACATCCTCGAGGCGTACGGCGAGCAGCTCTCCGAGGAGCCGCACAGCGCCGGTGAGCGACCGCCGGGCCGCGCGCCGGGACCGGCGGGGCCCGCTCAGACCGGGCGCTGGGACGGGTGCTGCGTGCTGCTGCTTGATGGCTAGTTGTTCATTATGTCATTACAGAGATAAATTTCAGGGCATTTTATTTTACTTCTGGAAATCAGATGGTTATTTTTAACGTAGCTTCACAGAGTTTTTCCTTCGATCTTTCCTTTTCATTTATGTGCCTTTGAATTAAAAAAAAAATTGAATGAACCAAACATTAACAAGCAATGCTAAATATTCAATGAGGCCCGTAAAAAGGCAAGCAGCCCAAACGTTGTCTAAACACTGTTTTGATCGCCGCTGCTGACGCGTGTGTTGCCGGCAGCGCTGAGCGGCGGCGGTGACGCCGACATTCCGTCTCTGCGCGTGCTGACGGCCTGCGCCATGTCCGGCAACGTGCAGCTGGGCGCCACCGTCATCGACGTGTCGCTGGTGCCCGCCGACCAGCTGCCCGCCCTGCACGCCGACGACGACGCCAGGACCGAGGCCGAGATTGACGACCTGAACACGGACCGGCCCACCGACTGTCTGTCCGAGCGGCCCGCCGAGCGACCGGACGCTCGGCCGTCGGAGCGGGCCAGCGAGCAGACCACCGAGGTGGACCGGCCGACCGACGGCCACACGGACTGGGCCACCGAGCTGCCCACCGACCGGCCGTCCGAGCTGCGCAGTCCCACCGAGATGCGCAGCCCGCCGGAGAGCAGGGCGGCAGAGCCGGCCGCTGTCGAGCACTCCACCGCACAGCCGGGAGCGCAGCCGGAGCAGCAGACGGCGGCGCCCGTATCGCCGGAGCCGGCGGCAGCGCCCGCGCCCGTCTCGGAGAGCTCGTCACGATCGTCCAAGAAGCGCCGGGCTGCGCGGAGAAACACGCAGCCCCTGAAGCGAGAGGATCTGCCTCCGCGGCCGACCTCGGGCGAGCTGGCGTCCGCGGCTGACACGCTGTCCACGGTGGACTCGTTTCACACCGCGGACGCCATGGAGCCGTCCTACGCGTCGGACGACCCCACCTCCGGCCAGATTACGCCAGTTCCCAACGAAGAAGTCTTTGATTATGAGAACGTTGAAGTCACCCGCTTACCGCCAGCAGATCTCCTGGAAAAGGCTCTCGCGTCACGCGACGGACAGTTCAGTCCGGTGTTCTTCGGCGGAGAAGACGTACAGCTTGCAGAGGACGGTGCAGTGACTACTGAACTGCTTCCCGAGTCGCTGGACCAACGTCTCAGTAGGTACATGTTTGGAGAGACCGAGGCTGCCGCTCAGTTAGCAACGCATCCTGACGAATGCCCCGGGCAACTGGCGACGGAGCTTCAGCAGGCAGCTCCGCAACAGGACTTGTCACCAACTCAACCCGGTACCGTCAGCCGGCGGCCGCTGCTTCTTTCGCCGGCTGTGTCGCAGAAAAGCGAGGACTCCAACCGAGGCCTGTCGTTTGACGAGGAGGTGTCTCCGGAGGCCTACGAGGCCCACCTCACGTCTCAGGGAGTGGTGGCCGTGATGCACGCCGTGGTCACTGGCGAGCACCTGCCCGAGGAGTACCTCGGCGAGATCGGACGCGCCCTCACGCCGCAGGAGGCGCGGATGACACTCACTGAGGAAGGTGCAAGAGACCGAGCCGGACTAGTCATGAGACTCTTTTCAGCTGCTCTGTCCAACCAGGAGCTCTCCCAGGGTGTTCTGGAGGAGGTGGAGCAGGCTTTGGCTCCGGATGCACCTGCAGAACCGCTAACCCAGGAAGCTGCTACTGCTGTGAAAGCATTGGTTGAAGTCCTTGAGACAGCGCAATTCGGAGATCCTAAGGTGATTCAAAGCCGTGGGAAAAGTCCAACATTGAGTTCTGATGTACTTGAAATGGCTGCTGAAACACTGCCGGGAATTGATGAGAAAGCTTCCGCGAACAAGATCCTGACGCTGTTTCTAAAACTTCCGGAAGTAGCACAAACTGTGCGGGAGGTGAAGACGGAAGCCAGTACAGAAATAGTGCAGCACCAAACCAGAAACGTGGCACACCAGGCGGCCAGAATTATGCAGGAAGCTATGACGAGCGACGTTACGAATGCAGGTACCCAAAAGGAGCCAGTGACTTCTACTGAAGTGACTGAAGCATTGTCATCAAAAGCAGCTGCAAAAGCTAGTGAACGACTGATCGATATTTTTCAGGCAATTAGCCAAGGGGAAGTAGTACCGGAAGAGCCTCTTCGTGAGGTAGAGAAAACATTGGTGCCCTCTGCTGCTCAAGCGATCGAGGAGCATGAACCGAAGCTCACAGTCGATAAGCTCATGGCACTGGTGACGCCTGTTTTGGAGGAAACTGCGTCAACGAGTTCCACAGCAGAACTTCCTCGAGCACTATCACCACAAGTGGCACAGGAGCGTTCTGTTTCTGGAGGAGCATGTGACAAAGCGCAGCGTCTTCTGACGGTTCTTCACGCTGCGCTGACCTCCGAGACGAACACAGATAACTCGTTATCCGACTTGACCCAGACGCTGTCTCCGACTGAGCCCGTCATCACAGAAGTACCAAGAGATGATCGCAGCGGCGCCGTTCGTGTGCTTGCAGCCGTCCAGGCTGCCATGCAGGACTTGATTGTCCCCGACGAAGAGGTGTCTCAAATTCAGAGTGTCGACTCACCGACTTTTGCCAAAGAGGCATGTGCCAGCGAAGGCCCCCGACTAAACGTGCAGAAGCTGATGACCGTTCTTCAAGCAGCCACCGCTGACGATGTGGTGTCTGAGGGCACACTATCAGATATCAGCTCTTTGTCCCAACAACAAGCAGGCGAGAATCTCGCACCAGACAATATGAAGGCAACGGCAGAAAAGGTATTGAATATTCTCCAAACAACGCCGATCGAAGAAGTCATTTCTGATGGGTCACTCTCTGGTCTTTCGAGCCAGCCGGAGTCACGTAAAGCGGAGATCAGGGAAGATCAGGCCGATCTAATTGAAAGGGTGACGGCGATAATGAGGGGTGTTATATCGGGCGTCTACGTGCCGGATGAGGAGGCACTCGCACTCAGGAGCGCGGGATCGCCCGCGGTGGCAGAGAGTGCAGTGGTAGCTGATGATTCAAAACGGCGAGCTGATATCATCCTAACCGAGCTGCATGCAATGCTGCGTCAGGATGCAGCTGAAAGCGACGCTAGTGGGACAATATCACCGATTCGCTGTGAATCAGCTTCTGCGGTGCCTTCTCACGAGGATAAACTAGAAACGGCCGCCAAGCTCATGATGATTCTTCACGCTGACCCATTATCACCCAGCATATCGGAAGGCAGTTTGTCTGATATGTCGTCTATTCAGGACCCATCATTAGCGTCTACCCGGGATCAAAGTGGCGATGCCCTTCAGCTAGCAGTTGCCACCAAAGTATTAGCAGCTGCAAGAGCAGCACAGACTGAGTGCGTTGTGTCTGAAGGAGAAGTTACCAATATCGATCGCGCTCTATCTCCACAAGAAGCAAGGGAAATCCTGACGCCTGGAGACATATCACTAGCCGTCCAGAAAGCTCTGGAAATCTTACAATCGGTTTGCGTAAGCGAGGACGTGCCACAAGACTCGATCCATGAGCTGGAAAGAGTTTTGTCGCCAGTGAAGTGCATACCACGAACCGCATCACCGCTGGTAGGAACTGAAGTGACGCAGGAAACGGGTGTTGAAGTAGCGAGCTCTGCGCCAAATATGCAATCTATGGTAGAAACGGCGAATGCAACTGGCCGAGTCACTTCTCCACTCCAAGAAACATTGATTGTCGAGGCAACATGTGCTGAGATGGCAGACTCCACAGCAGCATCCCAGGCACCTGAAACAATTGAAGAGCGAGTCATAACACCCCTTCAGACGGCATGCACGACCGAGACCACCGTTATGCAAGACATCGCAGGTAACAATAGCGTTTTGACAGCGCAAGTCGAGGAGGAACAAACACCAAGTTTGCAACCCCTACAAATAACTGAAACAGTGAGCTCCGATGCAGTTGATCTCATCTCGGACATCACTACTCCAACTGAAGCCGGAGAGGGAATCACATCGCCACTTCAGATTCTGCAGGTTGAGGAAACAGGTGCGGTGGAGAGGGAGACGGAGAGCTTACCAAGCCTCGCGTCATCAGCTAAAGCAGAAGATAGGGTAATCAGCCCTCTTCAGTCAACACAATTCACTGATATTGCGATATTGGAAGACCTTCAAGGCTTGAATGACACCGAATCACTAAAGGCAAATGCAACACCTTCGACAGCACTACAAACAACTGAAGCTACCGACGTCTCATCACTTGGCGTTGATGATTTTCAGGTGGAAACAAATGCTAAGTTTTTGGAAACGTCAGAAAGTCCGTTGGAGACGTTACAGGTCATTGAGCCACATGAGCTCACAAATGTCAATCCCACACCAAAGGCACCTGAACCTAGTCTCTCTGAAACAAGTTCTCAAGTTGAGCCAGCTTCTTCAGGCAAAGTGACTGAAATCGCTGCCTCCGCTTGCAGTGAGGCCACTGAAGCTACTAAGCCACTTGCAGGCGTCGATGAGGCAGACTACAAAGTCATGTCGGATGAATCTCAGTCACCTATGGTTGCTAAGCCTTCTGTCGAAGTACTAAGCGGTACCTCAACTGCATCAGAGAAACAGCAGGTGGCTGTGGCTCCCAAGGAGGACGTTTTGCTACTGGAGTCGCAGACAGAAAATGTGAACACTGCATCGGGCAAGGTAGCTGAGGTAATGCAACAAGAAACCATTTCCACAGACGATGTCGAGATGCAGGGCGAAGACACCACTTCACTCAAGAGCTCGGACAGTGTCATCACTGTGGCATCTCTAAAACAGCAGGAGTCCGATGAACTACCGGGCGACAGTTCTGGAGCCCTCCAGCAGCCTTCTGAAGTGCAACAGGCACTTCAATCCATGGAATCATTGACATCAGCTGTGTGCGCGGCGGCTACCGCTACGTTATCACCCGAGCAAGCAGCGGAAGGGCGCGTTGAAGTTCTTGCTAATGACTTTTTGGAGTCATTGGAGTCGCTCTGCGGTGGCCTGGAGTCCGATCGCCAGCGGGTTTTGCTGAATAAATTATGCGACAAAGTAAAGGTAAACGACAAACTATCGCAAGAAGCATCCGCCAATCCAGATACAATGCAAGCACTAGAAGGAATATCTCCGATGGTTCATCGCACACTTTATCCAAAAGTGAATCAAGTCTGTGAAGAAATTGAGCGTCTGGCAATGGATGCCGGCCCGCTAGGTGGGTCGTCACCTAAATCCAGTGTCTCTGGAAGGAGTCTGGAGGATGCGATTGGAGATCAGCTACAAAGGTTTATAGATGCAGTCGAAGAAACCAACCAGATGAAGCTACGATCGCTGAAACATCCTGTGGATGATAACTCAATTGCGAGGAAGTTCGATGACATCAACGATTCTGTTGTTCATTTGGCCGAAACCGTGAAGAAGATTGTGAGTAGTGCCATGACTGGCTCTGCAGACCTGAGCTTACAGGTCACGGCCGTGCAGCAGTCCCTGGCAGTGGCAGTGGTGACTCTGACTGACCTCATCTCCAATGACGAGCTCCGCGATGAAGCGATCAGGCTCTTAGCCAGTGTCAACGGGGGAATTTCTCGTGTTTCTGACGCAGTCGAGAATTCTGCTCGTGCCTTGAAATCAGATGATTCACCTGAAATGAGCCTGGCAATTCAAGCACTTCTTGATGATATCCTCGGGGACATAGTTGCTGCCACGAACAAATTTAAGGATGGCATGCGAGATGTAACAGCAACGGTAAAAGAAGCAGCTGCTAATTCAGCCGAGGATGGCATCTCAAAGTTTCTTATGCAAGGAGAGGCATTTGATGCAGAGGTTGAAGACCTTACGATAGCTATCGAAAGCATAACAGCAAAGAAGAAACGTGTTGCTGCTGATGTGAAGTCAATGAAGAAAATATCAGCAGAATCGTCGAATGTTCGTTCAAACATCGACGCAACATTAAAACTGATCTGCAACATTGTGACAGGTGCACCAAAGTCAGACGAAGATCAAACATTGAAAGAAATGCTTACCAAAGTTGATTTGCAATTAAAATCGCTAGGACAAAAATTTTGCAACTCTATTGCACTTCCACAACCTAGTAAGGAGCAAATAGCTCAGAAGATTAACACACTCCAGGCGTCGCTTGCCAAGTTGGTGAGCGTGTGTGTGCAGAACTCGGAGCTTCTTCGAATCGCCAAAGATGCCAAGGTGAAGCGGCGTTCCCTATCTCCCAATCAGTCCCGAGTTGTCCAAGACCTGGAAAACATCCGCACATCATTTGACCAGGCAATCGTGCAAATGCGCCTAATGCTGGCGTCTCAACACCCAGGCGAATCAACTGATAAGCTTTTTGAAAATATGGAAGCGATGTCAAAGGCTCTGAGCAGTGCCGAGAAATCCGTCCTAGCATGCGCAGGTACTGCTGCATCAGCCCCGCAGCACACGGTTCAAGAAGAGGGCGCAATGCAGATACATGTGGCCGACTTATCTGACGAACAACGTAAAGAGGAAGATGCTACACCAGAGCCGAAATCTTTGAATGAAGCTAGTGCGTCTCTCAATGCTTCTGTCACATCCCTCACTGAGGTTGTAGAAGAAAAGGCACAGCTAAAGCTTCCATCGGCAACTTCCATCGAGGATCTCACGTGGTCTGTGTGTGAAACGGTTCAGAGTTTTATCGCCGCAGTGCAAACATCTACCGCCATGCATGTTGATGAGCAACAAGTACAGCAGCTCAATGACGCATTAGCCGCCCTCACGGCTACGGTGGCAGACACACCATCAGAAGCTTGTGCTGCCCTCGACGACAGTACCAGAAGGAAGGTTCAGAAAGAAATTTCTGACGTAGGCATCTGTAGTTCCGTATTAAAACAGGCAGTTCAGAACATGACTATCCTCGTTGAAGAGAGCACAAGTGGCAGCGCACCCCTGGGCAGTGTAGTGAAAAAGCAGCTGGCAAATGTTTCTGAGGCTGTCGAGAAATTAAATAGTGCCGTGTTCGCCTGTAATAGTGCTGTAAGGCAACATATCGGAGAGGAGTCGCAGAAGGAGCCAGACATTCCATTAGATGAACGTGCTGCTAGATTCCAAGAAGCTTCAGTGTCACTGGTACATCTTGCTACCAGTGCTGTCGCCAGCAACGACAAAGGGTGCCTCGGACAGCTGTCTAACCTGGGACAGACCGTCAAGCAGGCGGCCATGTCGCTGATGGCCGGCATGCAGCGTCATTGCCCTCCAGTGTCCGAGTCGCAGGCAGTTCGCTTTGTCGCGACCGTCAACGAAGCGGTGGACTCTTTGTTGGATACCGTTGAGTATGCGCTAAAATCGGCGGAGGCCGAACAGGAGGACGGCGGATCGGTTGAAGCCGCAATGGAGACAACTTCGGACCGTTGTCGCGCGGCGGAGGCGTCCGTTCGCCATGTGGCGCTGGTCACCGGCGAGCCGGACGTGGTCACCGCTCTGCCTGGTGCCTTCGAGCAGCTAGCTCAGAGCTTTGCGGCACTAACGTCGGCCATTGAGGACGTCGTGGAGGCCCGCTCCGAATCTCCGGGCGCCGAGTCGTCATTGCAGCGACGCGCTGTCGCTGAGAATTGCGAGAAACTCGAAAGGCAGCTGCAAGCTTTCTGTGAGATGGTGATCGCAAAGCCAGGAATTTCTACAGAGTCTTTGGAGGCATTTTCCGAACAGAGCGAAGCCCTGTATCTATCATTGCTGGAGCTACTCATGGTAGTGTGCACTAAACAAACAGAGGATATGCCATCGCAAGTGATGGAGGCGTGCCTGAGGATGAGGGGCAGGCTAGAGCCACTCGCTAGCCTTCTTGGTGATCTAGAAAAACTGCCTGCTGAAACGGAATTGCGTGAAAGTGTAGCAAAGCTGAATGAAGCCGTCATGGCCCTAGTGGCTGGAAGCAGGAAGAGCCTACAGCTTGGAACGTCAATCAAGGATGAAAATCTCATTTCGTTGATTGATGATGTTACTGAAGCACTTCAGAATCTACTGCCAAATAGACCGAGTGATGTTGTAGAAGAAATGGAAGTTGACAGTGAACAAGTTGTAGAAGACATCGAAAGTGTGACTGCGGAACAATCCAATGAACAAGTGATTGTACCAGAAACTAATGATTTTACCACTATCACAAAGGAAAACGACATCCGTGATACCGAAATGCCAAAGGTCCAAGATGTTTCTGCAGATGTCTCAACGACCGGCACAATTCCTATTGTTCACAATGAAGAAGAGGCTGCTCAGGTCCCTAGTGAAGACAGTGAGCAGCTAGTTCCAGACGGGAAAAGTAAGCTGGGTGCAGATTTGACTCAAACGCCGGAAAAGAAATCATCCCTGGACGATGTAGAACCTCCAAAGGAACATGCTCCTGTAACCCTTAAGACAAACGTCACAGAGATACCATCGACAGACGAAGTGAATATCGCAGTACAAAAATTGGTCGGTGATATAGAGTCGTCCTTTCATAATAATCGTAGTAGTACAGAACAAGCAGTTGGGACTAAAGAGCTGAATGCAATTTTAAACAAACTTGAAGGTAAATTCACCGAGAGTGTTCCAGGCACATCCAGCTTGCAGGAATCTTTTGCAATGGCTAAGGCAGCCGTAGATAGGCTGAACAGTTCAATTGAAGACATGTCTCCGAACACCTCCCATGAATTGGAGCCTCCTGTTCGAAGCGCTATACAATGCGAATCCATGAATCTTCAACAAAGCATCAATGACCTGGTAGCCTATGCTATGGACATCTTAACTGGTGACCGAGTTCCTGCCGAAAGTATGGTCATTGACGACAAAACAAAAGCAATAGCAACGATTGTTGATAAGATTATGATGACCGTGCAGGAGGCTCCTAAAAAGCGGGATCTTGTTGAGCCTAAGTCTCAAGAGCCATTGTCGGCTGAAGCATGCTCCGAAGGAAAAGGACAAGTTATATGCAAAGACGCTGATGAATCATTCAAAGATAATTCATCGAAGCCTTTGACTTCCAAGCAAGACGCTGAGAATCAGCAAGAGAACACGTCGAAAGAATTAGATGCTACGGGAGCTACTGCAATAGAAGAGCCTCCGGCGGTGGTTTCCCAGAAGAAGGAGAATACCGTCAGTCCAGTGGAAGGCAGCGAAACTGGTGCTATGGATTCCAAGAAGAAGGAAACTTTCGATGTGAATATTACTAGCGAAGAGCAGTCAACAAGCCTTGAATCCGCGATCAAGATGCAAGGTTCCAAAGATGCATCGAAAGAACCTTCTACGATAGCGCTGACATCCACTGAAGAAGCGATTAGCCCGGATTCAGAACCAATTGTTCCAAAAGATTTGTCGGTCGATGGCTTCAAAACTACTACTTCCGATTCTTCCACAGAAAAAGTGCCTGAATTCGCACTGGCTGGGGAATCGCCCGCACCAGATAAAGAAAACAACGCGTCTGACCTAACCAAGAAACCAGAAAACTCAGTAAGTATCACTGATGACACCGCCACAGAGGAACCGTCAAGGTCAGATTTGAAGGCTGAAGATTCAACTGCGGTCATAAAATCAACCTCCGATGTCACGTCACTAGCACAGGCAGCATCAACAGATCTCTCCGCAAAGAAGCATCTTCTTGATGCGTGCCAGAGTCTGAACGAGACCTCTGAGAACTTTACGGAGGCGCTGGTAGACGCCTTGTCATCCCAGCCATCTTTAGGCATGCTCCGGTCTAGGGCTGAATCTATCAGTGGTGTTATAGGCGAACTAGAAGCCTCACTACGAACGCTAACTGGAGATGAGACCGCATCACCCTATCTTCGGCAGCTCAATGACACTGTGCTTCAGTTAGCAGCTTCTGTTGAGGGCTCTAGTCAGACGTTCGACGACGCAACGCCGTTGGATAACCGTGTCCTGGAAGAATTAGTAGCTCCAGCCATTATGGAGGTATCCGCAAATATCCATACGCTGCGAGAAAGCATCGCTAGTTTTACTTCCCAGCTGGCCGAAGCTCCTGTGGATAAAATTTCTGACATCACGGCTTCTCATGTTGCGATGGTGCACGACGCTTCTGGTAATATCTCCAGTGCTGTGCAGGAGGTTGGCCTCGCCATCAGCAACGCGGTGGAAAAATCGCGGACGGAGAGTTTCTTTTCGGCAGATGAAGATACAAGCTCAATGCTGTTGGATGACGCGCTACAAGATTTGTCAGAGAGCACCACCGCACCGATCGGGGACAGAGGTGCCACCTGGCGTCGACTCAGTGACCTGGAGACGTTCGGGGACGGCAATGTTGATACGGAGAACATTCTGAACGTCATGTCTGCCATCGGCTCTCTGAAACTACTGCAGCAGCTGGCCGCCGACTCAGAGTTTCTGACGGACGCCGTGGGTCGCGTATCGATGGCGGCGGAGCAGCTGCGCAGCCGCACGCCGACGGCCGACGAGACGGCAGCGCCCACGCCGCTCGAGGTCCGCGCAGTCTGCGGGACTCTTCTCGCAAGCATCGACGAGCTCACCAGCACCGTTCGTGACCTAGTGTCGGACGCCGGATGCAGCGAGCTGGACTCATCACTGATCAGCAAAATCGAGGACTACAAAGACACGCTGCTAAGCGTCTCCGCGGTAACTGACAACCTGGTGGCCGGTCGTCCCGAGCTTGCTATCGAAGGAGAACAAATCCGAGCCAGCATCGACCATCTTTGCGCTCAAGCGGACAGCATTCTTGCACTTACAGCCGAAAAATCATCAATTGCCAAAAGCCTACAGGATGCCGAAGAAAGCAAACAGCCAGTGGACGCAGTTACAAATGAGAAACTTCATGGAATATGCAGTATTGTTAGCTCGGCCTTGGAGCAACCGCAGACAAGCGAGGCGTTTGGCATTGAGGCTGAACTGGCTTCGGAGGCACCTTATCTGATGGACGTCCTGCTCCACCCAGAGAATCGTCAACGCGCCAAACAGACAACAGAAGAGCCTGTTCAATCAGAGCTGGCGTCTGAGGTGGCAGTGCCTACGCTCAAAGACGCTAGCGCACTCGGTCGACCTCTACATGAAGGGGATGGTCGTTCAAATTCAAAGATGGATGAAACTCCCATGCAGGCTTTGCAAGTTTTTGATGACACCGGTGACAAGGAAAAGACGCCTACACCTCTCGCGAGTGAAGACAACCTAAAACCAAAACCAGACGACGTGCTAGTGTCTGAGACGATTGACAAGGTCGCCAAGCAAATCTCTGAGAACCCGAAGCCCGAAACTGATGCTACTGAAACTGGAGACCAACTCTCAGTTGTCCCCACAGCTCCCAATGCCAATCAACACAAAGTATTGGAGCCCGACATTCAGGAAACGAAGAAGCACGACGTGATGTCGTCCGATGAGCAGGATGGCGTCGATAAAATGCCCGAAACGAAAGATCCTTTAGCAGTTTCAGTCAAGGTGGTTGACCCAATCAATGAATCTGTTGATAAATCAGAAACTCAAAATGCTGAGCCAGCTCCCAATGTTCCCGTCAAACAAGTTGCGACTGCACCCTCCATGACAAGTGAGACAATTTCTTCGGAAACAGCCGAAGAGGCTCGCGATTGTCTTGCTACAAATGTGAAGCATGATTTGTCTGCAATCGCCGAAACGACTGGAAAAGACGACGTAACGACTTTGCCAGCGGGTGATGCGCTCGGTGCCGAAGATGTTGATGGCAGTGCTGGCAAAGATGTAAGTGAAAAGCTTCTCGTTGAACCTCCAATAAATGACAACAGATTACCTATGCAGGAGAGTGCTCTACCAACGGAGATGACTAGTGATTCAGTGAAGCTTGAAACTTTATCTGTTGATGAACAAATTTCTGAAGAAAAGTGCGCACCAGGGACGGGCGAGCAGCTTGAAACATTAGTGATCGACGAATCAGCTGAAGATCAAAAGTCTGTTGTGGTAGTGCCGGCTACGCTCGGTATTCTGAGCATTGATGAGCATGGTGTTACGAAGGCCGTTAGCAGTTCAGCTGAACTCAAGCCTCTGGTTGTCGATGAAAAGGGCGCGACAGAGAGTGTTACCGAACAAGAACAACCTGGGCAAGAAGCCAAGCTACAATCGCTTAGTATAGATGAGCCAGCCACCAACAAAGCAGAAGCAGTGCCAAAAGTACCTCGTCTTAAAAGACTTTCCGTGGAAGGAACTGATACGGTTGAAGATCGAAAACAGCCATCCAACCAGAAGGTGGACGCCATCCAGCCATCTAAGGCCTCGGAGGAAAAACACGAAGACAAGCTGATCAGACTTAAGGTGGTACTTGACGAAACAAACGCTGCCAAGGAATCAGCAAATGCTGACCAGCCTTTGACACCTAAAGATACCAGTGAAGAATCTGCAAAAGTGTCGGAACCGGGGGTCCCCCTTCCGACAAAGCCTGTGCCAGAAACGGTTACAAGTGCTGCGGAAACACTATCTGACATTATACAGCGTGCCGTGGGAGGGGAAATTGCCACCATCAAAGAAGCGGAGCTGGCTGCAGAGCGTATGCGAACAGCCCTAACAGGGGCGGCAGAGTCTGTGCAGGAGACCGGGGAAGAGCTGGTAAGCTTCCGTTCACAGGCAGCGGCAATCGGAGGCGATCTGTCGCTGGTTACCGATGCCCTTCAAGACACTATCAGGAGCGTGAGAGGCACCAAAATGGCAACAAAAATACAAAAGGACCGCATAGCAGAAATGGTGAGGCCCGCTGCGGATGAAGTAACGTCTCGAGTAGAAACACTGGTGGCAGCAGTGCGATCCATGAGTGAAGCACTGAAAACATCAACAACCCAGCCAGACAAAAATACAGTGAGGTCAAGTGCCGATGCTGTGTCGACCGAGCTCCATCTCTTGTCAGCTGCTATTGACAAGAGTAACGACGTACGCTCGGATGCCGTCGAACGCATGAAAGGACTTGAGGACAAGATAGTGGTTACAGAGAAAACGGTCGAGTTCAAGGATGCGTTAGGCGAACTGCTCAATGCCGTCGAGTGCGCTCTTGTGGAGCGCGGTCCGGGCTCGGACGCTGTGGTGAACCTGCAGGCTGCCAGCTGCCGACACGCCGCCGCCAAAATGGTGACCGCCGTGACCGGCGTCACTGGCGACCGCGTGCTGCCGGAGCGCGCGCAGGAGACCATCGAGGCCAACATCGCCACAGTGGCGCGCGAGGCGGTGGCTGTCACAGCGCACATGCGCGGAGCTGTGCCGTTCGAGGAGCTCCTTGCCGTCCATCCGCCGCTGCAGGAGCGCGTCAATGAGCTGCGCCACATCGAGGAGCAGACATTGTCCGCCCCGGGGGCGCTGGCAGAGGCGGCGGAGACGACCCCCGTCTCGGAATTCAATGAGCTCTTCTTGGGAAGCGTCAAAGAGGCCACATCAGCCACCAACACACTTGCAAAAATGTTACACAATGTTGGCGAGGAGCATGCAAATGCCACCAACGCTTACCATGGCAAGGAAGCCAGGAAAATTGTGTCTGAGGATATCGATTCGCTACAGAAAACCACCAACAAGTTCTTCGCGTCGTTGATCAACAATGCGAGTGGCAGTAGCCCTTCAGGAAGCTTTTGGGAGCGCGAATCGCTTTGTGTTGCAAGCGTGGCAGAATGTGTCCACAAGAGCGTCACTGATCTACACGTGCTGGAGCCAGCAGTGCGGGACTGTGCGCTGCCAATGAGGTCTGGGGATGTCATCAAGCATGCATCCGGAGTGGTGAAGAAATGTGTCAAACAGCTTGCAATTCTGATGGATCGTGTTCCTCCAGGCAAGGCAATAAGCGGTTCTTGTGATATTGACCAGCTGGCTGAAAAGGCGGATCAACTGGGAAGTGAAATGGCTGACCGTTTAAAAACAGGAGCGGCTGCAAAAGATGAAAGTATCGAAAAAGTAGCAGAAGAGCTGCAAGCTGTCGCTGCTTTATGCATGAAAAAGATACGGAAGGAACTAAAAATAATTGATGATGAAATCGAAATTGAAGAGGAAGAAAAGCGATTAGAAAGTAAAAAGAAACGCATTCAAGAGGCAGAACAAAAAACGAAAGAAGAGGAAGCTAAGAGAACAGAAGAAGAAGAAAAACGGAAAGAGAGGAGTCAGCAAATGAAGGAAAGAATGGAAATAGAAGAAAAAGACAAAGAGAAGAAGGAAGAAGAGGCGCGCGAGGAAGATTCAAAGAAGCGCAAGAAACGGAAGACTGTGGAAAAAGAGGAACAAGACGAAAAATCAGTTATTGACGAAAAGACGAAAACTGTTAAGGAAGAGCGCCCAAAGACCGAGGAACACACATCAATTGAGGATGGGCAGAAAAAGAAAGATGAGGATAATGTGAATCAGCAAGACGAGACACATGTCAAAAATAAACATGATGTTTCCAGTGACGGTGACATGTCTGACAAAACTGAGGACGCTGACAGAGCAGCCGGTAAGCCCAGAAAAACGAGTGGAAAGCTCGACCCGTCTCTGATCGTAGAACGAAGAATTATTCCGCCGGAGGAGGAGATGGAGGCAAAAAAACTAAACAAAAAAGTGAAATCCCAGGACTCGTCTGACCTTGAAATAAGACCTCAGAAAACCCTGCCTGCTGAAGAAGAGAAGGAAGACAGCAGTAAAACCACAAACGCTGGTCTTGCTCCTTCCTCAGATGGCACTGCAGACCCATTGTCGGCGGCAGATGGCGAACACCAGGCTTACAAACAGGGTGAGGAGACGGTGGCTGACAGCGACGAGAAGCGAGATTCTCATGTAACGCCTAAGTTGGATCAGCCTGACACCTGCGACATGTCGCAGAAGGGAAGCGATGAAAATACTGCCGATCAGTCAACACGTACAATCAAGGACACAGATGAGGTGAGGCAGGCGGATATAGAAACTAGATCTTCGGCTGGTGAGCAAGATGCCGATTCAGCTCATAAGGAAAAACCAAAGAAGTCCGAAGAGGAGCAGGAAAAGATTGCTTCCCCCGAAGTTCATCAGTTGGAAGAAAATAAACATGCTACGCCCAAAAAAGATACAGAGTCTCTAGGCGATGCAAAGCAGCAACGAATAAACGAAATAAACATCGAAAAGATCGAAACGAACGACACGAAAAAGAAGGCGAAGAAAACAAAATCGAAAGAAAAGAAAACAGATTCGACTCCAGATAACGGTCAAGTAGAGAAAAAGGAAGAGAGGGCAGCCGGCGACACTAACCTCCAGCGAAGAAAGTCTGCTCCGGGTGCCGACGACCCCGACAAGATTCCCAGGGTTCTTCGTGCCGAGGATCAGCTGGCCAGGGCGGTTGGAGAGACAAACCCTCCAGAGCCTGAGGTGAAGACGGGAAAGCGAAAAAAGTCAATGACAAAAACCAAGGAGGATGAGGTGTCTAAACCAGCAGAAGGCAAAGCTGCGGATAAAAGAGACAGCATCTCCATGGAGGGAAAACAGTTACCCTTTGAAGCTAAAGAAGTTTTACAAAATGAAACGGTTGAAAGAAAAGAGGACTCGACCGAAAGCCAGAAGGCAGGAAAGGAGCCTTCTGGGTTTGCCGCTGCTCCTCGAGATTCAACATCACGTAAAGAGCCCCGAAAACTTTCTCAGGACGCTGCTAATGAAAGTGTGAATGATTTGCAGAAGAAACAGACCAAAGAGGCACCGAGTAAAGCTGATCAGGATGTTGGTCAAGCGCCAGGAAACGATGCCCAAAAGTTAGAGTCTGTAGCGTCAGTTGATGAAAAGGAGACCAAGGTAAAAGCAGAGGACCAAGGGACAGTAGTCGGCAAGAATAAGTCAGTTGACAAAGAGTTGCCTGTCACTCCAGATAAAAAAGCAGAGACTATGCAACCCGAAAAAGAGAGGGAGGAACTTTCAGACAGCAAAAGTGAGAAAACCGAGGTGAAACCATGCGAGGACAACAAACCCGGCTCCGAAAAGAAGAAGAAGAAACGCAAGGACAAGGATCTTGCTAAAACAGCAAAGGAGGAAAGACCTCCGGAGACGGTGGGGAAGCCAGAGCCGAACCGTGCCTCGGGAACGGAATCGATGTCTGTTCCCGGAACTGAATCCAGCGGGAAGACTGATGCGCCTCACGAAGAGGAATTCCCTCAGATGACAACGGAGGAGAGAATGAAGTCTCCCGATGGGGCCCAGCGGAGGAGGCGAGAAAGTGCTGAACATTATGTCGTAAGTACTTGTTTTTAATCTGTAGCCATTGAGTTTTAAAATGTTGTAGTTAAAGTGACCAATGACCATCCCACCTTAACATTAGTTTTGAGTTGAGATAGCTAAAATGGGGTCCCTGGCTTGCACTTACCGGTTTGAGCACTCACAACATCGAGAAATGCCTCAAATCGAAAATATCTAATCTCAAAGTTGCAGCACTTTGGATTCAGAGGGGCTAATGCATTTGAATGCCCCCTCTGAATGTGTGACGTCAGCGCAGATCTAATGATTTAAATATTGTACTTGAAGGGACCCTCCCACCTTCAAAAAAAGTTTATGAATTGGCATGAAAGTGATGTCGCTCGGTTCAGAAAGAGCGAAAACGAATATCTACCAAATTTCACCGAAAAATAACCGAAGGTTTGTTGTCAATAGTTAAAACACTATTCTTTAGAATTGTGTTTTTCTATTGAAAAACAAATCTGAGTTCCCTGACAATTTGGCAAAAGCTGCCTGAGATCAGTACAACTTGATGCTCTTGAAAACGGCTGGTCCAAAAATTCTGATTTTTTCAGGATTTCTAGTGGGCCAGGTGATCTACGTTCTGGTATGGGTCTCCCCTCCGCGGACCATCTGGTGCACGTGCCACGTGACTTTAAAAATTCCCGTGTTAAGCCAATGGGGAAAATGAAAAAATGCGTTCCACGGCAGATTGCTCGAAAACGATCCAAACGACCCCCCATTTTCTTACATGCGGATCAACCACCATTCGGTGCACTACCCATGGGTATGTCGCAAAGTGGCCGGAAAAGTCCAGAACCACGTGCCACGTGCCGTTGAAAATGACCCTGCACACCGGAAATTGGGACTTTTGGTCATTTCGGCGCACCCATGATGCATACTATGGCGTGGGTGACCAAACAATGGGTGTCATCCGGTCGGCAACTGTTTAAGGTGTCGTCCAGTGGGCCAAAGTGGTAGTTTCAAACTTTTGGGATCCACCATTCTGGGGATTCTTTTTGACAATATACTTACGTTTCTTGGCGCAATGTTCATTCCACCCAGCCGGTCGTCAATGCGTTAGATGACCCAAATGACGATTGACCTGAAGGAAGTTGGGGGCGAGGAACACGCACGTGCCATCCGTTTTTTAATCGGGCGCTTTCATCTAGGAGATTTTTGCAGATACGTCAATGCGTTAGATGACCCAAATGACGATTGACCTGAAGGAAGTTGGGGGCGAGGAACACGCACGTGCCATCCGTTTTTTAATCGGGCGCTTTCATCTAGGAGATTTTTGCAGATATCTTTTTGATTTGTGAAAATGACCAGCCTAGCGGTATGCCAGCCGCTGATAAATTATTATCTTGCTGCGGCCGGGCGCTTATTTGCGGTGTTTGCGTTTGGCGGCTGGCGGGCGACTTTTAGTCGTTTTCGGTTAGCAGTTAGCGTCGGTGCGGTGCGGGCGGTTTTATTTTTTCGGCGTTTCGGCGTTTTTTTTCTGTGTGGTTTGCGGCGGTCGGGTGATTTTTTGCCGTTTGCGTTGGCTTTTCGGGCGTGCGTTTTACACGTTTTGCGGTGTTTACGTTTTGCGGCGGGCGGGCGTTTTGTGTTTTTTGCGGTGTTTGTCTTTGGCGGCGGGCGGGCGGGCGGGCGATGCGGGCGGTTTTCTTTTTTTGCGTCGTTTGCGGTGTTAAATTTGTTTGCGGTTGGCGGCCGCTTTTTCGTTTTTTTGCGGTGCTTTTTTTTTGGCGGCGGGCGGGCGATTTTCAGGCGTTTTCGGTTGGCGGTTAGCGGGCGTGCGATGCGGGCGGTTTTATTGTTTTGCGGCGTTTTTGCGTTTTTTTATTTGCGGTTTGCGGCGGGCGTTTGTTTATTTTTTGCGACCTTTGCGTTGGCGTTTCGGGCGTGCGTTTTGCGGTGTTTGCGTTTTGCGGCGGGCGGGCGTTTTTCACAATTCAAAGTTCAAACCTTCGGGCCACAGCGCTCCTCGAAAAGCGCTGCCCTCGAGTATTCACCGGTTTTCAAGATATTAGACTTTTACTTTTGTTTACTTTTTGGGATCTCCGCTGTTCCTAGCGACTTTATTTGGAAGCAATAGTTTGGCAGCTGAAAGTGCGGCACTTGTTGCGCGCAAAGCAGCATATACCACCGCGTGCTACAAAACGTTTTAGTCAAACATTTAAAAATCGTTAGATATCTGCGCTGACGTCACACATTCAGAGGGGTATTCCTATGCATTAGCCCCTCTGAATCAAAATGCTGCAATTTTGAAATTCAATATTTCCGATTTAAGGCATTTCTCGATGTTGTGAGTGCCGAAACCGGTAATTGTGAGCCAGGGACCCCATTTTGGCTATCTCAACTCAAATCTAATGTTAAGGTGGGAGGGTCCCTTTAAACGGTTGGTAGCACGCGGTGGTATATGCTGCTTTGCGCGCAACAAGTGCCGCAGTTTCGGATGCCAAACTATTGCTTCCAAATAAAGTCGCTAGGAACAGCGGGATCCCAAAAAGTTAACAGAAGTAAAAGTCTAATTATCTTGAAAACCGGTGAATATTGTTCGGTGAAATTTGGTAGATATTCGTTTTTGCACTTTCTGAACCGTGCGACATCACTTTCATGCCAATTCATTAACTTTTGAAGGTGGTAGGGGCCCTTTAAATGATCGATTCTACTTCCTTATATTTCGATTATTAAAAAAGTGATACCCATTTTAAAGGATGACCATATTTTGTTAATTAATCCAAGAGTTATTGCTTTTGAATTTATTTATATATTTTCAATTACCTGTCTGTACACCTATTCAATGGACACATGCTCGTATTTGGATCTATATGATTCATTTGCCATTGTTGCAACGCAGGATAAATTAGTTATGCACTTTTTATTAAAGTTTGTTTGAACTAAGAATTATCCAATGTTTCACCTACCCACGGCTGTCGTGGCGACACTGCTGAACCATCTGCGGCCACTGTCGGCTCGTCTGACGGCTCGGCTCCCCTGCAGGAGCACCGGCGCGACCCCCGCAGGCGCCCCCGCTGGACCAACCGCCTGCAGGACAAGACCACCATGGCGGGCACGCGCGTCCGACTGAGCTGCACGTGCGCCACGGACGACGACGTGCCCGTGGAGGTCGACTGGTGAGTGAGCCACGCACACGGGGGGGGGGGGGGAGCGAGGGGCTGCCAAATGATACATGGCCAATCAAAGAATCATTTGAATGATCTTGTAGTTTGTACATTGTACATAGATGTGTGTGGTGAACCAGTGCAATATTAAATACCTAAGATGTTCGATTTTTTCACTTTACATATTGAATCAATGCGACCACAATTACTAAATTTATTGATAAACGTAAACATTGTTCACGGAGGATTGTGACGTTCTCGATTAGCCATGATATGTTGCGTGTGGTACCTACCTGTTCGATATGTGGTAGTTACCCTCTGATTTACTGAGCACTGGAGTTCATTTCTTTCAACGAATACTGTTATACTGCTACTTAGATCAGTCACCAAAGTGCCTTCAAAATATCTTCCTGATACTTGGCATCAATCATAGCTATACTATTCATGATATCTATGGACTGGTATACTCTAAGTCATGCCCCACCTCCGAAAGTGGGGGGGGGGGGCATGGCCCCCCGCCCCTTATCCTACGCCTATGTTACAATATTGAGCCCGGTGACGATTACGAAAGAACAGCCGAAAGATAAAAAGGAAACTGGAAATCTTGCTGGAAATCTTCTGAACCAATCCATTCGCTTTTTGTGGCCACTATCGGAATTTTGTTTATTCGCCGCGCCGCGCCACTTTCGTAGCTAGGTACTTCTGCTTAGCTGGCTTTCTGCTGTTTTTAATAAATTGATTTAATAAAGGATGATCAGCAAAATCATATTTGTTTTTTTCATGAATATTTTCTAAGATTTAAAATCAAAATAATTGTTTTATAATCTCTGGCAAAAAAATAAGTGTTGACATTAAATTGTAATTTGTAGGACGCTTGATAAATCACGGTAACTACGCAAATGTGCCAATTTACGGAGGTGTAAACAACTTGTGGCTTTATGAAACGGCTTCATTTGCGCTCCGTAGTTTGAAAGGGTGTGAATTACGGAAAGGTGTAAGTTACGGTAGAGCTATATGAAATGAGGCCCTCATTTCATCATGTGCATTATGCAGTAGGTATCCCTAAAGCTCGTGGGTGATAAATACGCTGGGTGAAGGTTTTTATTGCGAGGTCTGTAGCTGGCAGACAGTGCTTTAATTTAAAAGGGCGCTGAGTCAGTAAAATAGCCCTTTGAGCCCTTACTTCACTAGTGTCGACATTTCCAGGGAAGTTGGCTTTAGTGGGCGGGCCAGGTAGATGTTAGGTAAAGGTGCCTTCACGTCGTATTATGAGGGCTGTATAATTGCCCGCATTTCAATTTTCTTGGAGGGTGCGCGATATGATGCATTTTTTATTCTTTAAAAAATCTGCATTCGTCAGAAATTAAATGTGACATACTAGCATAGTGAGCCTGAGCATCGGTGATTTAGGTACTGATTCAATTTCAGCGGCTTCCATATCGTTTCAATATAAGCTGGCTTCTTACGGCCACTTTGTTGAAATGGGTAAAATACCGGAGGTAAAAGCTGTGAGTGCTGCTGCTTGTGATTCATTTAGTTATGAAGACACAGCCGTTTTAGAATGTCAATAGGTACTCGGTTCAAAAGGAAATGACGGAATAATCATAAGTAATTTCCCTTAGAAAATGACTGCGGTCCCGCCAATGACCCGTCCCCGTCCCCGCCCCGGTGACCGGCCGCGGCAGGTACCTGAATGGCGCGCTGCTGCGGCCCGAGTCGGACCAGCGGCTGCGCGCCTGGCTGGCCGCCGACGGCGCTGCCTCGCTGGAGATCTCCGACGTGGGCCTCCAGGACGGCGGCGAGTACACGTGCACGGCGCGCAACATGCACGGCCGCGCCAGCTGCACGGCTGACCTGCACGTGCGCGCCGGAGCCATCGAGCCGCGGCCCGGCCCGCCGACCTTCCTCACTGGACTGCGAGGTTAGCGCGCAACGGGGGACGGGACGCTTCGGCCGAGCAGCCACCCTAAGTTGGGGGATCCAGGGTTCTTCTAGTGCCATTGCTGTACTGATAATAGTGCTATCGGTTTTCTGACCAGCGCGCGTGCTCTGCAGTGTCGTATATCCTGGAGGATGACGTGCTGATCATCGAGTGTCAGCTGGCGGGCCACCCGGCGCCGCGGGTCACCTGGCTCAGGGACGGCGCGGCCGTGACCAGCTCGGACCGAGTTCACCAGACCCAGGCCGACGACGGCGTCTGTGAGTTGGATCACAGCCGATTTACCTACTGGGGTACAGGTTCTACAAGTGACGAGGGTTTTCACGTTGAATCTACGTTACATAATCAGTACTTATAACGTGTTATAGGTAATGCCGTTATTATTTCATAAATGGGTCTTCAACAGGGACGTATAATTAAACGTTAATTGATACGCCGTCGATGTTTAATTAGGTACGAGTATATGTCCGTGTTCTCCAATGTCTACCCACCTGTACCTGTCACCTATTGTTTTATTTGTGATGTGTTAAAGCGACACTGAAATATCCGGAGTCATTTCAGTCATCCGTTTTCATTTCATCGATGACTGATCATTTCTGATAAGAATCGTTTCTCTATACATTTAACAGCCATAAATACAACCTACCATATGCACCTCCGTAATGGAGGTGATTCAGTCTTATTTGGAGATTTGTAATGAGGATATCCTTTAATCCTGTTCCATCCGCCCGATCTTGCTAACGAAAGGCAGTCCTCGGTATAGATACCGCCTGTGTAAGTGGGAGCTGTGAGCAGCTGTTGATGGTTTGCGGTTGTTGATGGTTTGCGGTTGTTGATGGTTTGCGGTTGTTGATGGTTTGCGGTTGTTGATGATTTGCGGTTGGCACAGGTAAGCTGTTGGTGCAGTCGCCCCAAGACAGCGATAACGGCAAGTACACGTGTCTGGCCGAGAACCGAGTTGGCTCTGCGGAGATATCGGAGCACATCACCGTACCAGGTAGGGTCGTGGTGGCAGCCGTCAGTAGTTCGGCAACGACGGGCCGCTTTATCCGGGCCTTTCTGATCGCGTGTTTATTTATTAATTAATCACGTGAGTCGACTACAGCAGACGTTAGAGTAGTTGGGGTTTCGGGAATGTCTCTGCCGGGCCGCACCAGCCGGCTGTGTCAGTGCGCCATGCTGCTGATGCTGCCTACGACTGTCAGCATTGACGTCACAGTGCCCTCGAGCTCACTGACACCCTGCTGCTCTTTGACTGGTCTCGGGTCTCTGTCTTGGTGCATGGATGAATGTTGTGTTGTGTTGGCCTTCTGTCTCGGCATCTGGATGCTGTGTTGGGTCTCTGTCTCGGTGTCTGGATGCTGTTTGGCCTCTGTCTCGGTGTTTCGGTGCTGCATTGGGTCTTGTTGTCTCGACGCCCTGTTGTGCTGGATTCCAATGCCCTGCTGTGTTGGGTCACGTTGTCTATCCTGCTGTGTTATTCAATGCTCTGTTTGAACAGCACAGTTCTCGTTGTCGTTGTCTCAATACCCTGCTGTGTTGAGTCTGGTTGTCTGAATGTCGTGCTGTGTTGAGTCTGGTTGTCTACTATTCTACATACCCTGCTTTGTTGGGTCTCGTCTGGATGCACTGCTGTGTCTGGGCTCTGCCGCCTCTGACACCCAGCTGTGCCCCCAGGCGGTGCGCAGCCGCGGCCGGCCGGCTCGCCGGAGCGACCCGCGCGCTCCGCACACACGGCCAGCCGTCCCGTCTTCCTGGACGCCCTGCGAGACGTGGAAGCCAGCCAGGGCCGTGACCTGGACCTCAAGGTCAAGGTGGCCGGTAGGTGTGCCCCCGCGGCGGCAGCGGCTGCCGTCAGAGGAACTGACGTGACAGTGCAGCGTGCGACTGACGTATGTGATGTGAACTGACGCCGCGTATCGCGCCGCTGGTGCATGGTTGTTGGGTAGTGTTTGGAGCATAGTGTCAGTAGTGGCGAGCGCGGTGGAGTCGAGGCTAGGGACCCAGCACTAGTGTCCCAATGTACGGTGGGTGCGTATGGTGGTGTTTGGTTTGTGACAGTCACTGTGATCTTACTCCAGTTGTGACGTAGTGCTTAGTCATAGTGTCCTAGTGTGTTCTGTAGTGCGCTGTCTGGTGCGTTGGTAGAATGGTTTGACGGGTCGTCATTTGCACGCACCCCGTACTGACCCCGCCCTGACCTGGTCACTGGACAGCGGCAGCGGGCTACCGCCGCGTGACGTCACCCACGTACCCGGAGCGGCCGGCCGTGACGTCCGAGCGGCCGGCCGTGACGTCCGAGCGGCCGGCCGCGACGTCGGCGGCGCTGGAGCGTCTGGCGCGGTGCGCGGCGCCGGCCCACTACCACTGCCCGCCGGCCTGGCGGCGGCTGGGCATGCTGCGGCCGCGCGTCGTCTACCTGAGCCGGCGCCACTACCGGACCGGCACCTGGCCCGGCCTGGCCTTCAGCATAGCCGAGTACTATCCCAACCGGCACCTGCGCGCGCGCCTCCGCGAGCTCGGTGAGCCGCCGCGCGCGACACGCCGGGTACAGGGGGAGGGTGATACAGCGGACAGACACAGGATCCACGGGTGGGATGATACACTGGACACAGGGGCGGGACGAAATACCAGACAGAGGATTGGGGGGGGGGGACACCGGACACGCGGGAGCCTTGCGTGTTGAGCGTCGCCAAAAAGCACCGCTCTGAACGCTGCCTGGCGCTGCTTGTAATTTCAAGATTTTATTAAACACAATGCTAATGATGGTCGTTGCAAGGCTCACATACGCTTGTTTGCCAGGCTTCTCGTGCATGGTGTATGCATGAATGTCGAACATCAGACATCGGTCTGCATGGCATGCCTCTTTTATTGGAAATGTAGTGTATATTGTTACAAGCGCATTTCACAAGTTTACATGACTGCAGTGCTGTGCTTTGATAGTGTATATCTATTGTTGCTATGCATTGATCAACGCTACGATCTAAGAATGGATTTTAAAGATAGCTGTTGTCCATTTTTACTTTGCTTGTATTTTTCTTATTTTCGGACTGATTAGCTCTGCTAAATCAGCCTTGAACAGGCGTGCTCACACGCAGCTTATGGGCTCTTCTTCTGCTCAGGCACTTCTATGTTTCTAACAAGAAGCATTTAGAAGATCGGGGACCTTGCTATCATCAAATGAAACAGAAACTTATTCACATAAAAAGCCGCTCAAATAGATGTCCAAAATCTACCGTGCCGCGCGGACTCTCTGTGTCTGACCCTCCCGTTAATTTCCCTGGTTTTCCTCATCCCCCCCCCGGGTACGGTCTCCCCAGCCGGCGTCTGCCTCCCCGCTGATCTGCCCCCCGCACCCGGCTCAGGTTCGCCCTCACCGGACATCAGCTGGCTGCACAACGGGCAGCCGGTGCGGCCGTCGGCCCGGCTGCGCGCCTGGGGCCGCTTCCCCGACTATGCGCTCTCGCTACACAGCCTGACAGCCGCAGACGCCGGCACCTACACCTGCCGGGCGGCCAACGTGCACGGCGCGGCCACCTGCTCGGCCAACGTCAGGTGAGCGGGCGGGGACTGCACCCGAGAGAGTAGAGGTACACCACACATGTCCGGTACCTGAGGGAGTGGAAGTACACCACACCTCTCCGGTACTTGAGGGAGTGGAGGAAAACCTGTGTGGTTTCGGAGAGAGTAGAGGTATACCACCTGTCGGGTACCTGAGAGAGTGGAAGTACACCACACCTGTCCGGTACCCGAGAGAGTGAGGGTATACCACCTGTCGGGTACCTTAAAGAGTGGAAGGACACCTGTCCAGTCGCTAGTTAAGAGGCAAGCCTTCCGGATTATGACAGGTGTCTGATCGTCACTATAAGGGCTATCTTCTCACAGCAAGGCAAGCTTTTAGGGAAAGATCAGATTTAATGCTAACCAAATAAGTACATACATGCCGTTTCAAATTTGCCAAAATTTTCCTGGCTATAGTTTTCAAATTTTACCATCGTTTCTTTAACGGGCATTGCTGCTAGAGGCCTTGCAGACGTGTTGGTGACTTTCGATGATGTCGTTGCCGCGGTGTGTAGAGTTTCTGCAGTGTCCAGTAACTCTACTCTCGCCTTCAGTCTGGGAGCCGCTGGCGCCGGCCAGCCGGCCAGGATTGTCGAGAAGCCCGACGACCTCATCCGAGTCGCCAACGGGGGAGACCTGCTGCTCACCTGCCGCATCGCCGGAGAGCCGCGGCCAAAAGGTAAGGCCGAAAGGTGGACGGGCAGTCGCAGACAAGACGGAAGAAAGCTAGCTTGTCAACCAGCAAACGCTAGATGAAAATTGATCTCGTCTACTGGCGAGCTTCACCCAATGTCAAATGCACTGTGCCCTGAGCGAACAAAACATATCAAACTTTCGTCAGTTTTCGAATTTCACCCCAAAATGTAGAATTTGAAAGCTGTAGGACGAGTGTTTGTGTCGCACTGGAGATTACGACGGCTCTCGGCTGTACTGCGGTACAGTCTATCTCACGGCGTTTAGCTGTACTGCGGCACAGTCTATCTCACGGCGTTTAGCTGTACTGCGGTACAGTCTATCTCACGGCGTTTAGCTGTACTGCGGCACAGTCTATCTCACGGCGTTTAGCTGTACTGCGGTACAGTCTATCTCACGGCGTTTAGCTGTACTGCGGCACAGTCTATCTCACGGCGTTTAGCTGTACTGCGGCACAGTCTATCTCACGGCGTTTAGCTGTACTGCGGCACAGTCTATCTGACGGCGTTTAGTTGTACTGCGGTACAGTCTAATTCTCGGCGTTGAGCTGTACTGCGGTACAGTCTATCTCACGGCGTTTAGCTGTACTGCGGCACAGTCTATCTCACGGCGTTTAGATGTACTGCGGCACAGGCTATCTCACGGCGTTTAGCTGTACTGCGGTACAGTCTATCTCACGGCGTTGAGCTGTACTGCGGTACAGTCTATCTCACGGCGTTTAGCTGTACTGCGGCACAGGCTATCTCACGGCGTTTAGCTGTACTGCGGTACAGTCTATCTCACGGCGTTGAGCTGTACTGCGGTACAGTCTATCTCACGGCGTTTAGCTGTACTGCGGCACAGTCTATCTGACGGCGTTTAGCTGTACTGCGGCACAGTCTATCTGACGGCGTTTAGCTGTACTGCGGTACAGTCTAATTCTCGGCGTTGAGCTGTACTGCGGCACAGTCTATCTCACGGTGTTGAGCTGTACTGCGGCACAGTCTATCTCACGGCGTTTAGCTGTACTGCGGCACAGTCACGGCGCGAGCGTTTAGCTGTACTGCGGCAAAGTCATTTCACGGTGTTTGCCTAAACTGCGCCTCAGTCAAGCGTTACTGTCACCTGATAATGGCCTGATAGTAGCTTTGCTTGCGGCCTTTTAATTTTCATGGCATTTACTAACACGAACAAGCCGTTCTGTTATTGCGGTGTGTGTCGGCGGCGGCCGCCCTGACGCCGGCCCCTGTGCTGTCGCTGCAGTGGCGTTCCACAAGGGCCGTCAGAACCTGCTGGCCTCTCGGCGCGCCACTCTGGAGGTGGCCGGCGAGCTGTGTCACCTGCACATGGAGCGGCTGCACTTCTCCGACTCGGGCACCTACTGCGTGGAGGCGCAGAACGCCGACGGCGCCGACCGCTGCTACGTCCTCGTCCGGGTAAACGCGCCGCGCCGCGCTGCCGGAGCGGTGTGGGGGTCAGGTGCTCCCGGAGCCAATACTGAACAGTGATGGGCGCAGCGGAGGAAGACATCTTAGCGCTGAGGGCATTACGCGTGCCTATTACCTTTTCCGTTAGTCCAGCTTTTCATTGGAAATATGTAAATCAACGTTTTTTTTTTTGCAGTTTTGATGGTGTTCGTGCAAGTAAAGCAATTGTGTGTCTCAAACCAAGGCTCTGATACTCCACGGACCACTATAGGTTAACTGGGGACGATTGAGGAGTGACCTGATCTTTGACCTGTGCTGGCTGAGCGGTGATTGACCTTTGACCTGTTTTGTCGCAGGTGAAGGAGCCGAATCGGGCCCAGACGCCCGACTGGGACAGCCGCACCTCCTCTCGGCTCATGGCCAGCGCCGACCTGCGCAGGACACAGCGCTTCACACAGGGTGAGCCGTTGGTAACGCTGTGAGCGCTTCACACAGGGTCAGCTGTTGCTGGGTTGCAGGGTTGCAGGGTTGCAGCTGCTGTGCAGTGTGCACACAAACTGGGAAAGTCACAGCTCAGTCGGTATTCAGATCAGTGGCGCTCACTAACCAGCTCGCGCTTTATAGGTGACATGTTTAAAATGTAGCTGTGACCTGATGCCAGGGGAGCGGAGCGCTGCACCGATCTGACCGCTCTAACCGTCCTGTGCGCTCGCAGACGTTCCGGGTCCACTGCCGGGCCGTCCGTACACCAGGGACGTGGGCCAGAACTGGGTGTCACTGGCCTGGCCGCGGCCGCTCTATAACGGCGGCGCGCCCATCCTCTCCTACAAGGTGGAGGCGTGGCTCAAGTGCGAGGACGCCATGTGGGATATGGTGAGTGCGGGCTGCCGGGGCGGCCACGGCCACGTGCCGCCGGCGGGAAAGACATAAGATGTGCCGCATTAGCGTCGCCACGGGGGGGGCAAGCGGGGCAGCTTGCCCCCCCAACCTCGGACCGGGCACCCCCTGAGATCGATACAGATCCGATGAGATTTTGGAGTCGGGAAAAATGGGGGTACCTTTCTGAGAATGCCTGTGAGGTCAAATTCGGTTGGAACATGCAGTTCAAACCAGAGTCAGAGTCGCAGTCTCCAAAATCTTTAAGACTCCGACTTCAGACCCGGAAATGTCAATGCTGTGATTCATTCCATGTTCCTAGTTGGTTCTTTATTATATTTCATAGCTGATTTTCATAAGTTTTGGAGTGCTGACACGTAATTTTCGTTCAAAGCGTGACACGAAATCGTCGGGCCTTTCTCAACTCTCGTCAAATGTCTGCGACAGGCTCAAGTACCCTTCAAGTGCCGCAGGGCTCATGAGCTCGCCTTTCACACAGGCTCCCAAGGAGCTCTTTCGAGCGCTAAGAAGCTTTCAGAGGGCCCAAACCAGCCTGAGAGTTCCACTGGTGTCCATGTTCTCTGAGGGCCCATACAGGGATCTTTGAGGACCCTGTACAAGCGTAGGCGACAGACTTTGCTAACCCCAAGCCGGCATCTGAGGGGTCATAACTGAGTAACTCGCGTGTCCCTTTGAGAGCCGCGACACATGTTTATTATGTCCCTACGTAGCGTCCTTAAGGATTCGACACAGACCCCGATGGTTAACACTGTTATCCGAGGGCTCCAGGCTCACCCTGCCCCCTGGGCCTAGTCTGTTATCGCCCGCCGCCCACACTGGTTCTGAGGACCCCACCTTGGGCTCGAAAACCCCTAAAGCATCAAATATGCGTAAATATTTGGGGTGAACCACCCGATCTTTGGGATCCTATGCAGGCTTCTGAGAGTCTACACTGACCCTGAGTGCCCTGAAATGGCCTGGAAGTCCCAAACCTATCTCTAAGGAATCCCTTGCAGGCTTGCCGCTATGCCGTGCGTAGCTTTTGGTTCCGTTTAACATTTGCTGTTCGCGTCCCTTCACACGAAAAACGAGGAACTTTTCGTTCACACTCGGGTGAACAAAAAACTTCCTCTCACTGGAGCAAAGATGAATTACTTCCGATTCACACTTCCGATATTCACTCTCCGCCGAATGCCCAACTTAGCTACTATCGGCGGCTGGGATAAGCCCTATGCATTGCATGTAAAACCTCTGCATGCATGCGTGAATGAAGTTTTTAGCAGGGTGATCTGATTAAATGGAGCGTTTTTCACCTTTTACTGGGTGATGATCATGAGCGACGAGCGTCTGCAGGGCACCGGCAATCGCAGCCACTCTAAGTCTACCGGTCGTTTTTGTCCAGAAATGTCAAAATTTCGATTTTTTTCTGTAAAAAAAAATATATATCATAGCTAGAAGGAAGAATTTGTCACCATCGGATTCCTGGCACCATTGCGCGTCGAATGATATGTAAAACGAGTGACTAACGACTGGGGAAAGGGAAGATTTAACACAAAAGTTGATTTTGCCCCCCCAACCGAAAATCTCTGGCGACGCCTATGATGTGCCGGATGGGATTTGGGTATGGACGTACGAAATGACGGTACTGCTACAATGGCTATGTCATTTAATGATAGCACGTACCGCCGCGGTCCCCGCTGCCCACAGGTGGGGATGTCAGTCATCTGCAGCATGGACATATTCGATCTGAAGCCGGCCCGCACCTACATATTCCGCGTGACGCCGCGCAACCGGTACGGCTGGGGCGAGGGCAGCTGCTCGCTGCCTGTGCTGGTCGGTCGGGAGCGGGTGGCGCCGCGGTTCGGCCGCCTGCTGCCGGCCACCACCAAATGTCTGCTCGGAGACTGCCTGGAGCTCCAGTGCCAGGTGGGTGGGACAGGGGCAGGGAAGAGTGGACAGGACAGGATACCTGTGACTGTGTCTGATCCGCTGTGACCCGCTGTGACCCGCTGTGACCCGCTGTGACCCGCTGTGACCCGCTGTGACCCGCTGTGACCCTCTGTGACCCGCTGTGGTATAACCCGCCGTCCGTGTCTCAGGTGTCTGGTGAGCCGGCTCCCGAGGTGGTCTGGCTGCGGGACGGCATCCCGCTGCCGGCCGGCCTCTGTCGACTGCGCGTGGCGCACCAGGGCGACCTGTGCCGGCTCTCTGTCAGCGCCGTGCGACCGTCCGACCAAGCCACCTACACGTGCCAGGCAGTGAACACGGCCGGCCAGGCGAGCACCTTCACCCGTCTGACGGTGGTGGAGCGCGAGCTACTGCTGCACGCTGACCGCGCCATCAACAGGTGAGTATAGAGACCCCGACCCACCGACCCAACCTCGACCCACTGACCGGACAATCAGCGGGGAGTGAGAACCTGGCCCCGACCGACCCCCGCGGACCTCCTGCCCACCCCCTACCAACCGACCGACCGCCTCCCCCGACTGACCGACCGATGGTCCCGTCGGCGGGTGAGGAGACCCCTCCCCTACCGCGCAAGCCATTTGTGGAGACCGCTGACCGACGCCCCTCCCCCACCCCCCGACCGACCGACTGACTGACCGACCGACCCCTCTCCTTACTAACCGGGCCATCAACGGATGAGCGACCCCCCCCCCCCCCCCACCTACTGACACTTGACAGGACCATCAGTTGTTGAGTGGAGACCCCCCACCCACCCACCCACCCACCCACCTTCCGACCTATTAATGTGGGGTGAATAACTGGTTGGATGAATAACTGGTTGGCTTGGTTTGGTATCTCAGAGGTCATCAGGTCAGGCAGAGGCTGGGTGCCGAGAACAGTGTAAGGTCAGCAGCCTCCCCTTTCCTCTCCATAGTGCTCGGTATTCGATCGTCCCTCCCCTTCCGCAGCGCTCGGTATTCGATCGTCCCTCCCTGTCCATATTGCTGGTATTCGATCGTCCCTCCCTGTCCATATTGCTGGTATTCGATCGTCCTCCCCTTCCGCAGCGCTCGGTATTCGATCGTCCCTCCCTGTCCGCAGCGCTCGGTATTCGATCGTCCCTCCCTGTCCGCAGCGCTCGGTATTCGATCGTCCCTCCCTGTCCGCAGCGCTCGGTATTCGATCGTCCTCCCCTTCCGCAGCGCTCGGTATTCGATCGTCCCTCCCTGTCCGCAGCGCTCGGTATTCGATCGTCCCTCCCTGTCCGCAGCGCTCGGTATTCGATCGTCCCTCCGTGTCCTCAGCGCTCGGTATTCGATCGTCCCTCCGTGTCCGCAGCGCTCGGTATTCGATCTGCAGCGCTCGGTATTCGATCGTCCCTCCCTGTCCGCAGCGCCCTGGAGTCTGCCGCGTCGGCCGCCGACCGCTCGCCGAGCGAGCCACTGGCCCCCTACTTCCTGGTACGGCCGCGCGAGCGCCGGGTGGCCGTGGGCAGCTCCGTGCGGCTGACCTGTCAGGTCACAGGTCACCCGCTGCCAGAGGTCACCTGGGCCAAGGACGGCGTGCCGCTACAGCAGAACGGTGAGACGACTAGCTCGCACAGTGAGGGGAGGGCGGGGTTTATTTGATCATTAATTCCATTTTGTGTATTGATTCTTTCATTCATTTGGCTACTGAATAATTATTTGTTTGTTTGTTTGTTGATCCGTTCATTAGTTGGGCACAATGCCCACTCATTCATCTGGACTCTGTGGGATGTCACTGTGTGGCTCACTGTCTGTCCCCGTCAGAGCGGTTCGCCATGTGGCACGAGGCGCACCACTTCCACACGCTGGAGATCACCGCTGCGCGGTTCGACGAGCTGGGAACGTACTCGGCCGTGGCCTCCAACGAGCACGGAGACATCACCTGCTCCTGTACACTGGTGGGTCAATGGCGCGCCCTCCCCTGCACACGGGTGGGTGAATGGCGCGCCCTCCCCTGCACACTGGTGGGTGAATGGCGCGCCCTCCCCTGCACACTGGTGGGTTAGATGGGCAACCCTGCAACTGGTGGGTTACAGGGGCGCCCTCCACTGTACACTGGTGGGTCGTTCACACGCGCTGACAAATTTAAAAGCGTTTTACTTAAAATGATAAGATCATGCTTGAATTCAGATGTGCTCAGAATTCAGAGGCGTCTGACACGTTCCGTGTGTCCGTTGTGTAGTGTCTGACACGGTCCGTGTGTCCGCTGTGTAGTGTCTGACACGGTCCGTGTGTCCGCTGTGTGTACTGTCTGACACGGTCCGTGTGTCCACTGTGTAGTGTCTGTCCGCTGTGTAGTGTCTGACACGGTCCGTGTGTCCGCTGTGTAGTGTCTGACACGGTCCGTGTGTCCGCTGTGTAGTGTCTGACACGGTATCTGTGTCCGCTCAGTGTAGTGTCTGACACGGTCCGTGTGTCCGCTCAGTGTAGTGTCTGACACGGTCTGTGTGTCCGCTCAGTGTAGTGTCTGACACGGTTCGTGTGTCTATAGTGTCTGACACGGTCCGTATGTCAGCTCTGTGTAGTGTCTGACACGGTCCGTGTGTCCGCTGTGTGGTGTCTGACACGGTCCGTGTGTCCGCTCAGTGTAGTGTCTGACACGGTCCGTGTGTCCGCTCAGTGTAGTGTCTGACACGGTCCGTGTGTCCGTAGTGTCTGACACGGTCCGTGTGTCCGCTCAGTGTCTGACACGGTCCGTGTGTCCGCTCAGTGTAGTGTCTGACACGGTCCGTGTGTCCGCTGTGTAGTGTCTGACACGGTCCGTGTGTCCGCTCAGTGTAGTGTCTGACGCGGTCTTTGTTTCCGTAGTGTCTGGGACGGTCCGTGTGCCCGCTCAGTGTCTGACACAGTCTGTGTTGTGTCCGCTCAGTATAGTGGCTGACACGGTCCGTGTGTCCGCTGTGTAGTGTCTGACACGGTCCGTGTGTCCGCTGTGTAGTGTCTGACACGGTCCGTGTGTCCGCTGTCTAGTGTCTGACACGGTCCGTGTGTCCGCTCAGTGTACTGTCTGACACGGTCCGTGTGTCCGCTGTGTAGTGTCTGACACGGTCCGTGTGTCTGTAGTGTCTGACACGGTCCGTGTGTCCGCTCAGTATAGTGTCTGACACGGTCCTTGTGTCCGCACTCAGGTGGTGGACCGCGGCCACCTGTTGTACGCCGGCCCGGAGCTGGTGCGCAGTCTGCCGGAGGTGACCCGCGTGTCGGCCACCGCCGGCCTGGAGCTGCAGGCGCGCTGCACCGCCTACCCGGCCATCTCGGTCCTCTGGTAGGTGGCGCCAGCGGCGCTCGGACGCAGGTGGCGCCGACGGCACCGCCAGTACGCGGAAACAACAGCACACTGTCGGCTCTCGCAGCCTGCAGTGACCCTGTGCCATAGACATTAGACACACAGAAGGCCCCCAATGATGCCCAATAAAGCACCATCGTGTGCTCCGTATAACACAGCGGATAAGGCGTCTGTCCCCTAACTCAGTGGCAGGGACCCGGGACCGGGACCCGGGAGATGGCGACTCACTAGACCCGGCGTGGGTCGTCCGGGAGACAGCGACACAGTAAACACGGGTCCGGGAGACAACGTCACTGTATACCCAAGATTCCTTTACTACTCCTGTATACCGGGGTCCGGGAGACAGCGACGCAACCTGGAGAGCAGATGGAGTAAACCTGGACTTGGAGTAAATCTGGAGACAGTGACACAGTGGACCCGAGTCGTCCGGGAGACAGCAAAACAGTAAATGACATTCCACGTTTATTGTAATATAAAATGTTGGACCGACCTAAAGTGGCAGAAGGACACAAACGTAATTACTGTAACCTGCGAGGATAAATGATTGTCATTAGAGCGGCGAGCTGACTCGCGGTAAGCTGCTAGTCACCGCTGGAAGCCGCGGCAGGTTGCGGCTCCGAGGTCGTCCGAGGTCAGGGAGCCCGGCTGGGGCCACTGACGGGGCGCAGGCCGCCGGCTGACGTACTGCACTGCTAACAACGCACAAATTATTATGGGAAACTCGGATCGTCTCCATACAAATTACGCAATTTATTCGCACGTTCATAAAACTTGCGGTCTACTCAGAATTGCATTAATTATGAGCATGCCGTAGCAATGGGACTTTAAACGGCCTGGTTTCCAGCGCATCGCTCAGCGGTTGGGGCCGGCCGCGCCCGGCGAGCGAGCCTGACCCGTGACCCCGGCTGTCGAAGTGGGCTGATGTAAGGCTGCGCCGGACTCACACCAGTGTAATAAAACCCACCGAGACGCACCGTCACACCTCGCCCGCCGAGCTCAGCCGCCGAAACTGGAACAGGTGGCGAGATTACAATGATCCTGCAGTTGCTGTACTGTTGACATTCATAGTTAATAGTTATTTTCAGCGTAAGCCTGTCATGCCGATTTATTTTGACTGAAAATAGGTGAAGGACATTACACTATGAGATGCTAAGATGTTTAGGTATTACTGGCAGTCCGCCACCGCCTCCTCCGCGGAGATATGACGTATATGCACTCAGTGCGTCCCCTCCGCGGACACCAGGCGTTTGTACTCAGTACGTCCCTCCGCGTCCCCTCCGCGGTCACCTGGCGTTTGTACTCAGTACGTCCCCACCCCGTCCCCTCCCCGTCCCCTCCGCGGACACTGCAGGCGTTTGTACTCAGTACGTCCCTCCGCGTCACCTCTGCGGCGGTCGTCCGCCCCAGTGGACACACGGCGGACAGCCCGTCTCCAGGCGCCCTCCGCGGCACCCCTTTGGCCAATTACCAGGCCTACATTTGGCCGTCACCCTCAGCCCTAACTAGGCGGGCGTTATGGGAGATACCGCGATATCACGAGATGCCGTGAATAACAGGTAGCCCGGGGCCCGGTGTTACAGACTTCTGATGGCCCTTCAGTCGCGCTCTGAATGGTTTCTGCCAGGAGCCCGCTCTGCGAGTCCGCATAGCGCCGGCTGCCGGTGCCCCGACGATAGGATCGCTCCGCGCCATGCATCGCGCCTGAGCCGACATTAGTACAAGTTAAACGCCATCGAGCCGCCTCCACTGCCGCCCGTACAGATTCGCCTCCGCTGGGTGACAGTAATGGACCAATATAGCAGCCATGGAGGGCGCTAAGCCGCGATGGACGAGACAATATCAGTGTGCATTTATATGCCGTTCCACATACGTCAGAGCGACGCTGAGGCTCCGCTGTAAAGTCGCAATAGAAGATCAGGCCGAGCCCGTCTGCAGCTCTCCCGTCCTTTCGATTCTTGTTTGTATTATTAGGAAGTTTTGCGTAACCTACGCTTGGAAAGTGGTAATAAAATACAATACTCATTTCACAGGAATCGTATGGCCGGCTACCTATTGGAAATGCAATTTGTAATATTGCATGGTAAAGAGCTGATGCCGTTGTCTTGTCGAAGCTCCATTAATTGTTTAAAAACCCTTGCTTAATGCCCGAAGGAATCAGTGCCAGTATGCCACCGTTTGAAACACATCAGCGCATGTCTCCAGTCCCTTCGATAGCGGGCAGCTTTCGACCGGACCGGGCGGCGGTGCCGACCAGGCCGACCACTGATCACTGCAGAACGGGGCACTGGCGAATAACGTATGGAGCAATGATTTGCAGATCAGGCAGGCAAAACGTATACCTATTATAGTTAATGGGAAAATATTTCTTCTTCTTTTTGTTAGCTGAATTATGAAGTATTTGGGTTTGTGATTTTATTTCACAACCATACAAGTTAATAATAACTTATAAGCTACCTAGGTAATAGGTATTTATCTAGTTAAAGAGGTATTGCAGATACCTGGTGACTCACAAGTACCTATACACGTTGCCTGTAAGCTTTCCTACATGCAGTCCACCCTCACTTTGCAATATTCATTTGGGAAGCGGCAGTCAAAATTCCACGGCATCCGTATGCCTAGTTGTTAAGAGGCTGGAGTTGTAAGGCACTCTGCATATCTGGGGGCATTCACTGAGGGGATTATGAGCGGTTCGTGCCTCCAGGACGGGAACCGAGTGTAAATCTGTCGAGTGTTCTCTTGACATGAGCCGTGGCAAATAAAAACGTCATTGCCAAACGGCTGCGCTACCTATCACATTTGAGTTTCATGCTAGTAAACTACCTCGTTAAATTTGATCCATTGCAAGAAGCTGGCAACACCTAGGAATGTAAGCGCCCATGTAAATATTGTATTTGTTTCACGTCCACCAATTTTATTGTCACTAAAATGTGTTATTCTTTTCCTCAGTTATTCTCACAATGCGACTAGTCCTTTTCCAGGATGAACATAACCGTGTCTTTTCCCAGTGGCGGATCCAGGGGGGGGGGGGCAAAATGGGCATTTGCCCCCCCCAAACGGCATGATTTTAACATTACGCCTATGGACGGTGCATGGAAAGAATCGATAAATTATTATGGTTTGCCCCCCCCCCCCCAAAAAAAAAAACTCTGAGCTGGATCCGCCTCTGTCTTTTCCATTGTAGGTCCCGTTGGATACCACCTGCCATGGCTGACCGTTATCCCTGTCCCCCGCCGGCTGAGTGTGTGATGTGCGCCCACCTAACCTCAGCCGGTGCCTCCATCCCGCAGGCACCGCGACGGGCGGCGCGTTCGAATCGCGCGCCGGCAGACGCTCTCGCTGGACGGAAACGGTCTGGCCACGCTGCGCATCGGCAGCGCCTCTCACGGCGACGCCGGCAACTACTCGTGCACCATGAGCAACGAGATGGGCAGCGTGGTGACGGCCACGCGGCTGGTGGTGCAGGACTCCCCCGACGGGTGAGTGCCGGGAGTAGGGACTCCCCCGACGGGTGAGTGCAAGGGAGTAGGGACTCGACTCCCCCGACGGGTGAGTGTCGGGGGGGGGGGACTGGACTCCCCCTTTGGGTGAGTGCAGGGAGTAGGGGCTGGACTTCCCCGACGGGTGAGTGCAGGGATGACTCCCCCGACGGGTGAGTGCAGGGAGTAGGGACTCCCCCGACGAGTGAGTGCCGGGGGACTCCGTGTCCGGTGAGTGCAGGGGTGGACACTCCCCGACAGGTGGGTACCGGTGGTAGGGACTCCCCTTGCTGAGTGCGACGGAACTGGAGAGCCAGATCGGCTCATGGGACTGGGGAAACGTCCATCCGTCTCGGAATCATGCAAAGCTAACTGTATCGACTTCTAGGGACATGGGAAAAACAACATTTTCTGCGCTGTCGTCGGTAGGCAGTAAGTAGGTACACTGTGCACTCGAATGCACTATGTCGGTGCAAATTCATCGCAGACCCGAGACGAAGCCCGCCGGCTCCGCTGACCGGCGCCGTTACTCAGTACTAATCTGTACTGGAGCTGACACGCTGATCCGCTCTGCCTGCCCGCCCGCCGTGTGTCTGGCGGTATGGTGCGCTCTGAGGTGACGGCCGACCGGCCCGCCCCGGCCCGGCCCGGCCCGCGGCTGGCGCTATGGCTCACCGGCGGCCCCTGATGGAACTCACGCACCTCCGTCCGGGGACGATTGCGGCGCACGACCGGAGCGCGTGCAGAGCCGCGGCCGGTCCGAGCCAGCTGCAGAGGGGCCGCGGGCGTAATTAGAGGCCGGTCGCGCGTGTGCGCCGCCGCTCAGAATAGCGGTCAGGTGCCGATCGGCCGAAAATGAAATGGCTTGTGTCAGCGGTTAAAACGAACACTGAACGGTTATGAAGAGCTGGTTTGCGCTCTGGCGTTCGACAGGGCTGTCTGCTCTGCGCAGAAAAGTAGGCTTTGCCAGGACGATTATAGACGCTCACTGCTGTTCAGCCATAGCTATCGGCTAGGTGTTCGGTTTTGGTTCGCATGGCATGCCGCACTTTAAAGTGGATCAGTTTCACCCAGCATGTGAAACTGATTCACTTCAGTAGGCCATTTCTGCCCTCCGTCGGGACAGAGTTTGGGATGACTGGTTCGGATCTCTCCGACTGCTATTGCTATGAACTACTGACGGCTGCTGATGTCTCTGCGGCTCTGCTCTGGTCCACTGCTGTCACTATGGTCTGCTGTGTGTGTTTCAGGCCGGTGGAGGCGCCCTGCTTTGTGCGTGACCCGGTGTCCTCTCACGTGCTGGAGGGCGACTCGGTGACGGTGACCTGTGAGGTGGTCGGCGACCCGGCCCCGGAGGTCAGCTGGCACCGGCAGGAGCCCGCACAGGTCAGTCCCGCCCGAGCGAGCGGGTCAGTCCCGCCCGCACAGTTCAGTCCCGCCCGAGCGGGTCAGTCCCGACCGCACGGGTCAGTTCCGCCCGAGCGGGTCAGTCCCGCCCGAGCGGGTCACACCGGTCACCTGACAACAGGCCACACGGGTCACCCGACAGGGAGAGGGCTGGAGTCAACTGGTGTCCATAACTGCCCCACAGGTCTCCGCAGCGCCCCACAGTCCCCTGCAGTTCCGCACAGTCGACTGCAGCGCCCCACAGGTCAATGTAGCGCCCCTCAGGCCCCTGCAGCTGTTCAAGCTGTCGGCCAACTCCGCCGTGAGGTCGACCGGACGCTCTGCAGCCCACTCCGCCGTAAGGCCGAACGGGGGCTCTGCAGTCTGCAGCCCACTCCGTCGGTGTTTCGCCACGGTACCGATGCGGCCACGGAGCGCGCCAGCTCGGTTGGGGCGGCTGCCTCTCTCGTGCGACACGTGCCGCCCTAAGCTTCACCGCACGCCCCCTGACGCCCCGGGGCATCAGCGCATTCAGAGGGTTAAGGGTTCAGCCATCAGTTGAACGTTGAGGGTCACCTGTCGTCCTGTCGTCCAGACAGCTGACCGCTACATGTTTACTGGACAGCCGGAATAGTTCATCGCCATATGCAACTAATTAACCCGCGCACCGACGGGGGGGGCGGATATCCGCCCCCCCTGAGGTTTTTCGCGGATAGCGGGAAAACCGCGGCGCGTAGCGCCGCGAAATTTGGTATGACTATTCTCTCATCAATTTTACACATGGTGTGCAAGTTTGAACCTCTTAACTTTTAAGGTCAGGTCACCAGGTCACTTTGAATGACCCAACCTCAAGTCACTTTTTTGCAACTTTGTCACCGTGCCAGAGCTACAGTAGATGTCGGAGGCCTTTGAAAGTCGCAGGATGTTATTAGGTCATTAGTAGCTACAATTTGTATATCTCGGAATTTTGATGTCGGTGACCTAAGGTCAGGTCAATTTCGCGACCTCCCCATTATAAGTCAATGGGGGAAAAATCAACTCCCTGTTTTTACCACTAAAACGGGTCGGAATGGCCCCATATACCATACATGACTTCACATGCGATCAACCTTCACTACCTTGAGGTCTGTTTTGCTGTTGGGCAGCTGTAAGGTCATGTGACGTCATCAAAGGTCACCAAAGGTTTTTTGCCAATAACTCCTTACAGGAACAAGATACAGCCGCGCGGATGGTCTCATTGTGTTCAGCTCGTCAAGACGCATCGAATGATATACATGACGACCTCGAGGTCACGTGACCTGAGGTCAACCTTTGACCTTGACCTTTCGAGGTCAACATATATATCATTCGATGCGGATTGACGAGAGGATCACGATGATGCCCTTAGTTTGTTCCTATCTTGACTACTTCGAAAGTTATTCGAGAAAAACCCTCTCCATATCTAGCGCCGCCATTTTGACTTTTTCGACCCCTGTGACGTCATCTTTGACCTGACCTGAAAATGACCTTAGTAAAAATTGTAGACCTTGTCCGTGCGTATCCGATGCCGTTTACCGCTTGTCGCTATCTTGCTTCGTTCTCGAGATCTCAGGGGGGGGGGCGGTCATCCGCCCCCCCCCCGTCGGTACTAAGTTGGCGCAGACCCCCGTCGGTGCGCGGGTTAAACGCTGTCAGCAACACATTTACTGGCCTCGGCTTTGCAATTATTTGTTTACTGCAAGACTCTTTATTGCAAACATATGCATTGACATCCATTTTAGCCGTTTGATAAATCAGCTGTCGGTTGTATTTTGAATCTGCCCATAAACCTCCAGCCGGCAGATGAGATCTAATAGTCGACGCCTAAATAGCATCAGCGTCGGCCAGTGTTGGCTGGGTCCGACCTCTGGGCTGGGTCCGACCTCGGGGCTGGGTCCGACCTCGGGGCGGGGTCCGACCTCGGGGCTGGGTCCGACCTCGGGACTGGGTCCGACCTCGGGACTGGGTCCTGCAGCAGGGCACAGGATGCTGCCGAGCGTGTCCTGCCCTGAGCTGTGAGTAGGGTGCAGGGTAGGGGCGTCTGCCGAGCGGGCGCGTCCATGGATAGGATGGGATGTGGTCTGGGCGTCTGCCGAGGGGCCCAATGGGTAGGATGGGATGTGGGCGTCTGCCGAGCGGGCTATGCCCTGGATAGTATGGGATTTGGGCGTCTGCCGAGCGGGACCTTCTGGATAGGATGATGGCCGGATAGGGGCGTCTGTCGAGCGGGCCATGCCCTGGATAGAATGGACTATGGGCGTCTGCCAGGCGGCGTCACCCTAGCTCAACGGCGGCCGCTCCCCGGGGCGGCTGGGTGGGCCACTACAGGTCGTGACGTATGTACGGCAGTCGGCAGTGAGCCGTGAATAAGCACCGCAGTCGCATATATCACTGGCTCGATTATCTGCGCCCCGTCCCTCGTCAACAGCGAGTCTTAGGTGTAGCTCCCTGTTCAGCGTATGTAGGGAAATGTCTGCATCTGAGGACACCGCGTGCATTGTGCACTTTCCGTTCTACGTCTGTCATTGTTTGGACAGAGAAAAGTAGTGAAGCACCTTTACATTCGCATTTGTATAATATACCACATTCACTTTCAGTTCTAAAGCGCTACAATCCTTGTGGGCGTTTCTCTCACGTCACATTGGTTTAAAGTTTTACATGAGCGTCTAACGCGTCGTTGTCTCGCCAGCACGTTCCGTGCCCACGTGCCACGTGTGTCCTACGCCGCACGTTCGTGTCTCGCGTTGTCTCCGACGTTGGCCGCTGTCGCTGGCAAATGGCTCGGACAGGGGCCAGCTCATTGTCTTTGGACAGTCGTCAGGCTGAGCTATGCCAGCTATCACTTGGGCTGGAGCGGCTTTTTCAAGTCCGTGCGTGGGGCGGCGACCGGAGGGCGTTCGTTCGGGTGTTTCCGAGGGCTTTGTCCTGTTGCGGGGGTGATGGTGCACTGTTTGTCAGGGCTGGGTGCCGGAGGGGCGCCCGGGGCCGCTGCGAGCCAGTGCTCCGGGACAGGATCTGGGGTCGGCCCCGGGCCGATACTGAAGGACCTGGGGGTCCGTGGGCCGGCCCCGTCCCACTGAGGGCGGTACACCGTCTGTAAGCCAGGACGGCGGTCGGCAGACGCGCGCGGTACGGCCTCCGTGTGCAGCCTAACCGACCTGCTGTTTGCCGGTACATAGGAAAGTAAGTCGCCATGAAGCGCGCGTGCCCTGCACGACTGATGCGTGAAGACAATGAGACCCGTTACGATGAACCATGATATCTTCTTGGTTCTTACTAAATACTATATCCAGGTATCTGATGTATGCCAGTTGCTGCCATAAAACGCCTACAATGCGGGCATTTTCTCGAACTGAGGAACATTCAGGGACGCGGGGCATATATACCTTCATGCCTCACCTATATTTAGGCGATATGAATGTCTAAATAGCACCATATGAATATAAACGCCCATAAAAGTCGCCAATTACCTGCAATAAGACATCGTGTGACTCATTGCTTGATGCCTAATCACTTACTAAGCTTAAGTGCTCACATGCACGCGATTGAATTCCAGGATTGAAATAAACCTCACATTATGATTGACAGATGGCGGACGCTCATACATAAACACTTTGGAAAAATCGGCGAGAAAATTGCGATCACTGGCGGCGAAGAAGCACTCGGTGCAAGAAGCCCAATGATTACTGAGCACGTGCCTGCAGGTGGATGTTATTATACATCCGATATTTATGTTAATGAGTCAGAGGGACGCTGAAGCCGCGAGGAGTCCAGCGATCTCTCACCAGAGGCCTGCCGGCTGTACCCACTCTCCGGCCTGCTGACCGGACCGCACCACTCCGGCCTCCTGGCCGTACCCACTATCTGGACCGTACCACTCTGATCTGCTGACCGTACTGTACCACTCTGGCCTCCTGAGCGTACCCACTATCCGGACTGTACCACTCCGGCCTGCCGGCCGTTCCCACTATCCGGACTGTACCACTCTGGCCTCCTGACCGTGACGTCCCGTGCCCACTAGTCCGTAGGAGCGTACCACTCCGGTCTACTGACCTTACTCTCGGATGTGGTGAAATTAGAATATACCTTTAACGCATTGAGAAGAGGTCTTTCAGCGCAGTCCTCTCTCACTACATGCGTGGTAGGTATTCTTATTTCGACCAAAAAAGAACAATAAGAATGAAAATAAATTAATAATATTAACCGATCTGATTTCTCGAGACGAATAGCCTCCTCCCAGACGGTGAGATGAGACATGTGTAGACGGACTTGTATCGGCAGTAACAGGGGGGGGGGGGGGGCGGCGTGCGCTGGCCATAGGCGTGAACCTGTGTTATAGCTGCCGAAGGAAGACCATATTAAATTGGGCACACAATTCAATGCGTCTTTTGGTGAAAGTGCTCCTGACTTACATTCTACACTTATAAGCACGTATAACGACTTTACAACAGTTTGTGATTGGTTTTACTGCAATTTACTAGTCATCGGTAAATTGTATTGTACGGTCTGGTGCGGACGCCTCCCAATACCGCCGCCTGGCCGCTCCCTGCGCCGCTGCGGCGGGTGTGAACACAATTCAGCCGCCGTGAGTGACGTGAAGCATTCATTAGACGCCAGTTTCGCCTCTAAAAAGCGTCCTGTGGTGATGAAATGGTCACGATGGAGCGCGCACCGGGTCACGGCCCCCTCGGCCATCCGAACCGGTAAAAACGCCAATAGCTGGCAGGTTTTTGACAATCGACGCCAGCGTTCACTGAGCGCAGTATAGAAAGATGCAGCTGAATGGCACTGCAATTTAACGCCCCTAACTAATCTGTTTGCTGCCACCCGGTGAAGGTTTTTTGCTGTGTGCCGTGGGAGGAGCGGCGCACGGCAGGGGAGGCGCTGCGGTCGCGGCTGACCTGTTACGGGCGGCGCTCTACCTTGGTCACTCCAAAAGTGACGCGGAAACACAGACAACTTATCAGCGTGTGGCCATCGTC